TATTCCGACCACTTTCGCTTATAATTCGCCTCTCGCTTAATTAATTTTATTTCTGCTAATTCTTTGTAGTTTTTCGTGCAGATCGTCGCTGTCGATAGGAGGAAATAACTAAAAAGTGACTCATTCTACCCAAAAGTTAAACAATTGGACCTTTCTCTGCCTTTTTTTCAGACGACCCGCATTCGAGCAACTAATTAAATTTTTATTACTCACTTGATAGTTCGCTGAGCCAGTTGTTTGTAAGAACAGTTTACACGGCCAATTTAAATCGTTTAAGAATTAAATGTTGAATTTTTGTTGTTTACTTTTGAGTTGAATGTTTGGAGGCAATATTTTATTACCAGGCTTAGAAGCAAAGCTTTTGTTTTAAATTGAGATCAAGATAAATTGGCACAAGTTTGTTGATTGCGGTTCGGATTTAAGCAAGTAAATTCGACGAAAAGAAAAACAAGATAATTAGAGAAGCAAATGAAGTAAATGTAAAAGCATTTTAACATAAAAAAAAACTACGTCAATTAGAAAGAAACATTCGCCCCTGCCCTGTAAGTTGTAACATCAAAGTCAAATAACTTTGTAATGAGTTGTCTGTGAAATTTCCTGACGTCTTTTTAAAAAATAAAAGCAGCAGTTTTTAGTTAAAAAGCGCTTAAAATTCGTGAAAGCAATTTTATTTTTAGCAAAAGAGTAGCGAAAATTGTAAATTTATATATCTTTGCACTTTTATTTTCGTACTTTTTCATCGCGGCTCATGGACTTTTACTTGCATATTTTTCACCCTATACTGTACGATTAACATATTTCCAGTTTCGCCCGTTTTAACAGATCCTTTTTGAAGCGAACAAGCACGATGATAATATTATACAAATTTTGGACCGCCTCCAACATAGTCGAAATTTATTTGAAGGATCGCAGCGTCGACTGCTTTTTGGACCGACGCGGCCTTTGAGCTGCTCGTCGTAAAATTCCCTTCTGAAATTTACAAGCAAATTAAACTGATATAAGGTTGCTTTTAAAACGGCAACAATAGATATAGAGATGTGCGTGACGTTTTTGTGACTTTTTCTGCGACACAGAGAGACGAATGGCGCGACAGCTGAGGGAAGAAAAAAAGTATATAAAAAAAATCGTGCGTCACGCGTTTTAATTCGGAATTTTTAATAAGGCATCACCAAACGAAAAGCACACCCTGCACGCCGAGTCAGTTGGAAAATTAACGCGCAGAGACAATCATCAGCGAGATAGATAGATATAGTAGAGCTGCGGGGGCCACTCCCTTTGAGCCCGCGTGCGGATATACGTAGTAAATAAGCTCGCACGACGAGAGTTAAAGCACTGGCGGCGCCGGTGGCTTTTAATCGAAATTATCCCCGAAAACACATGCAAGCAAGAGTGAGAGAGCGCAAAAGGGAGGTGGATGGATGGATGTGCGTGTTACACTACGCGACTGCAGGTTTCAAATCCCCGCGAATCTGACTACGCTGGAACTAATTCATTTTAATCCGGAAGCGTCAAACTTAATGCAGCAGCTAGACCAAACACGAATCCGTCTCTTTCTATGAAGGATAAAGTAGTGTTAATTTTAAATCAGTGTGGAAGAAACAATAATTTTAAAAAATTATTCACATTCAATCAGAAGTTTTGAGAAGAAGATACTAAAAACAATGTTACAAAAAAATTAGACAAGTTTCAAGTAATTAAAATTACTGTTGTTTATTTGTAAAAATATTAATAGATTATATAATTATTTATTATTATTTTTATTGTTTATTGTAAAATTTTTTATTTATAATTATTTGAAACTTCTCAAATTTTTGTGTTAAATAGTTTTTAGTTTTTGACACCAAAATTTCAATTCGAAGTTGATACGTTCCATAAATAGGGGTGGAATGTTTTGATGCACATTTCAATTTAAATGTCTTGAGATGTAACAATTGCTTGGCCGCATTTTTAGTTAATTTTACTTTTAGGTATTTTTTTTGGATTTGATAATATTGAGCTTTAATCATGGCTAATTCATGAATTTCCATTAAAATTGGATGTTACGTTTTCAAAACTTTTGTCGATTTCATGACAAATAACAAATATCAACTAAATCAAAAGCTTTACATTTTAATTAAACGGTTTAAATCAAATGAAAAGATTTGAGACGAATTTTTTTTAATTTTCATATTTTTATGAATTAAAATTTTCTTAGCTGGATCAATTTCGCTAGTAACCATGCGTTTGCAGCCGTAACACATGCAAATGTTTACGGAGCGTCATTAAAAAAGCGACGGCCGAAAGAATCGATATTTCGGTCGGGTGGTGGAAAAAAGGAGCCGAATGTTCAGGAGGTTGCAAGCGAGTGAGCGAGCGAGGCAGGAGTGACGTTGTGGTGCAGAGGCCGCAGAGGGTAGCATGCAGTGTTATTTGGGGAGGGCATTACCCACCTCGCCCGCCGCTCGCTGCTCGCTCAGCAGCTCGGCTCGCCCGCCGAGCAGCAATCTCTCCCTCTCACATGCGCGTCCTACGGCGCAGGATCTATCCCCAGCAAGCAGGCAGGCAGGCTGGCTATCCCGCCCGTGTGTAGAGTGGAGGAGCATAATAAAAGAGTGTATGTAGCAGCGGCGGCAGCAGAATGGCGTTGTTGGGGATCTTTTTCGACACCGAGCCGCAGCAGCACTGAGCCAGCACCAGCAGCCAGTGCCAGAGATGCTCTTGCCGCAGTTGCGTGCCCACTGCCGTGTCCTCTGATCCAACATTTGCATCTCGAGAGAGACTTACAGTGTGTTCGTTCGTTCGTTCGTTGGTTGGTGTTGCTTGATTTTCCGCCGCAGCGAAAATCGATCGGCGGCTCTCGCGGCCCCGAGGAGAGAGTCCAGTGTCTTCGTCGTCCAGGTCCCCAACGGCAGCCAAACTGTGGGGCGCGGGGAACTTCTTTTTGCCACCTCATGGAGTCTACTACCCTGTGAGTAAAAGAGTTGAAAGGGCCATGCGCTGCAAGAGGAAGCGGCCAATTTAAAACTTTATTGAGCGCCACAGATGACGATGACGCACTCGTTCTTCTTCTTCTTCTTCACTCGACTACTTTATTTAATCAAAATTTGTTGAGCTCGTCCGGGGGTTGTGTCTCTTTTTTTTCCTTAAAAAATCAATACTTTGTGTTTAATTCGCGTCAGCACCTCGGAGGAAGCATCTCTCTTTCTTTGTGCCGACGCTTCTTCTACTACCCTCTCGCGCGGCGTGCGTGTTTTTATTTATACAATGGTGGTGCGGTGGTGCCGCTCCTCTTCTCTCTCTGCACTCGCGATGGATGCTGCTGTCCGTTTCTCTCTTTTATATATTCTCGATTTCCCCCGACGGACCGAACGAACGGCTGTGCGAGTCGCACTCGAAGCAAGCAAGAATGGAGCTAAAACAGCTCAAAGTTATATTTATACGCCCGGCGTGCAGCATCAGCAAAAGCGCTCGTCGTCGTCGCCGAGTAGATAATGAGGCAGAGGCTTTGGCCCCGTATTGCCCAGGCTCGAATTGCTCGCTTTTGTTCTAATTGTCGGCGGCGCGGCTCGTCTCGTCGATGTAAAATTTGTCCGCCGGCCAGTTTAATGTGCGTGTGCGCCGCGAATAACGGCCTTGTCTCGAATTAAACGCGAAATTGGACAGGGGCTGCGGCTTCGCGCGCCAACCCAGAGAAATAAACGCGTCACTCTCAAGAAAAAGGTCCTCGAACGCACATGTTCGTCGTCCTTTTTTTATTTGTGTGTTTTTTGTTTGCCTCTAATCCCGAACATGTGAGACGCATCTGCCTACGTCCTTCTTGTTTTGAATGGACCGCGAGAACGAGAAAAAGAGAGCTTCACATTCACAATACACCCCGCGAGGCGAAACGAAGAGCGCACAAAAAAAGTTCCTCTGGAATTTTCCTCCACCATCTTTTCCGCGCCCCACAAAGGCGCGAAACTCCATCTTTAACGGTTGTTTCATCTGCCCAACTATGAATCATAAAATCCAAACTTTCTGATGACAATTTTACGGAGAAAACTTTAATAATAATGAAATTTTTGCTCCTTTATCAAAGTTTTTAACGCGTTCGTGTGATTAGGAAATAAAATCAAGCACTAAAAGTTTAAAGAGCCTTCCAACTTTTTTCATTAAATAAGCAATTTCATATTTTTTTTAAATAGCGGCCATTAATAAAAAAATCCATTGCTGAGGCAAATTATTCAACAATTTTAACCGTCCCCGACGGTCACGAGATAAAGTCTAGCACTTTAAATGAAGGTTTAAAAGGCCTTTAAACGTCGCGGGAGATGATTTATAATGATATCATGCGAGCGGGTCGTGCGATTCGCAATTAATCGATAACAACGCAGCCTCATCTCTCTCTCTTACTCTCTCACTCGGCTGACGAAGCGAGCGGACAAGCTTCCGGTCCTAAAGCGAGGAGGCAGCAAAGTTTGTTGGTCGGCAGTGCGCTTTTTGTTGCCATCGCGGGTCACGGAATGTTATACCAGCTTGATAAAGAGAGCGGCCGACTTGATTCGTGTCAAAAGTTATCTCCGCCGAAGAAAGCCATTCATTTTAACGAGATATCATAAAACTTTTATCAAAAACCGCATGCACGCATATATTACTCACAAATCCGCCAAAATCGGCGCTGCCTGCGCGTTTAAATGCCTATACCTGCAAGGGGAGGCCTGGGGGTGGCTTGCTTGGCTGATAGAGCGTCACGGAAATGGAAACGCAAACAAAACCAAAATTCCAAATCGATGCAGAGCGAGCGCGGCGTGGCTGGTAAACGAGCGATTTCACGTCTGGAAATACACACTCGCTATTCAAATGCATCACGGAAGAAGATAAAAAAAATTTTGATTACATTTGCGTCGTGGCGCCGGCAGGTATTGATCCCGCAGACCCGATATATGCGAGAGCGAAAAGATTTGAAAACTTTTTTTTCTTCGCAAACTTTACTTGTAGATTAATTTTTATCATGACTGATTTCTTTCTTTGTCTGATTGCAGCACATGGTGCAGACAAACATGAGTACGGCCCCATATGCCACTGCCCAGTTCCAACAGAACGGAGAGGCCCCTGGCCCTCCGGCGGCCATCAAAGTGGACACCGCCGTGGCCAGCAAGGACCCAAGTACAACGCCCACAGGCGTAGCCGGTGGCCAACCTACCTCAGGCCAGGTCACAGGACCCACCTACTCACCGCCGCTGCTCACAGCGAATGGAGTTGTTGAGCAACAGACAATGGTAAATATTTTTAAAGTTACAAAATTACTGTTTTTTTCCTTCAAAATATAAGTTAGCCCATTTTTGATAAGTTTTTTTTCAACTTAACTATAGGGAAATGTTTTTACTTTCGAAATTTTTTATATGCCTATTTTTATTTGAAACTCGTGTTAAGAATTTTCAAAGTTTCAATATTATTTTTTTAAATAAAGTTCGTCCATTTTTTTTTAAATTGGTTTTCATATAAAATTATCCAAAAATAATTTTATTTTTGATCAATTTTCTGCTAAGTCTATTTTTTGATTTGAAACTCATTTTAATTTGGTGCCCAGTTGAATTTCCCCTTCTCTTTTGCTTTACAATTGTTTGGGAATAAAAAGATCAGCCAGAGCCAATTCTAGATTTTCTCTTTCTGTGTGCCAAGAGAAATAAAAGCCCCCAGCAGAATAGTGTACAGAATTTTTGAGAATTTGAGCAAACAACTTGAGCTTACTCTTCTAGAATGTTGCCCGCGGCCTTGTCCAGCAGGAAATTGTCTTGTACACAATTTTCATGAGACCCTCAGAATACCCCTCCAGCAATAGGGTTTTAGTCTCTGTTGTAAAAACACCAAACCTTTGTGTGCAATGAGGTGTAAAAATTCAATTTACTGACAGGCACGAATTTCTCCCTGAAGTGTTTTCTACAAAAATATTTTTCCAGAGGAATCAGTTTCAAGAAATATAGTTTTTTTCTTCAAGTTTGGTTTAGCCGTTGGCAAATTTATCTCTTAAAATTAAATTATAAATCTGAACTCATTTCACCCCTAATTGTCATTCAAGTATGTTCCAAGTGCGGGATAATAATTGGCTCTACATTCTCCACTCTTGCCAGCAAAGTAATTTATTTCAAGGTTATACGAGAACTTTGCAATCAGCGAAAGTTGAGCTAGAGTGCGTTGTTAAAACTTTCCGACTATCTTTTAATAATACTCCGAGTGATCAATTGAATCGAATTAGGCCGTTGTTCCGCTCGGCCGGTTGGAGTTTTTCCAAAAGCGACCAACGCTCCGCGGTGGCTGTTGAAATAATTGGCGCCGCCTCTCGGATAATACCCGGGCCTTGTTATTGTATTAATGCATATTTATTTCGGCCGACTGTGTACACGGCTCATCGGCCGCGCGTTGAATGCATTCCAAATTTTTGATCCACTCGTCTCTCTGATGCCCCAAGTGGTCCGCGACGACAAAGGGAATGTTAATTTCAGTGCCAGTTTAATGAGTTTGGCGCGCGGATCAGATTATCAGTGGCGCGAAAAAATGCTCATTTGTCTTCTTGTTTTATTTTCAGGCGCCCAGCACTCTTCACGAGCTTCCATCAGGTGGTGTCAACTTCCAACAAATAAGCTTAGAGGTAAAAGTCCATTTAATATTGGTCACTCCGTCAACGGTATCGTATTCGTGATTAATTTTTTCCTTCACTTTTGGCCTTCAAATTATTAAATGTAATTCTAGAGATGATAAATTTTTACATAAAAAACCGCAAACTTTGGCAGATAAAGATGAAATTACAGGCGGAAATGGTTTCAAGTTTATACAGTCATCTCTGAGTATTCCCATCGCATGTGTTTAAAAAACAAAGCGGCCTAAAAATACCAAGTTCACTGGAAGTGATCTCATTAGAAGGGTGATGTCAGAATTTCACTAACTGCTTTTACCACTTGTTCCAGAAGCAAATGACTGAGACAGAATCGGAGAGCAGCGCTCAAGTGACAGTCCAATCTTCAGGAAACCCCCTGCAGGTCAATCCGGCCACAGTGGCAACTGGTCTCACAGTACCTGGTGGAGTCCTTTCTCCCGGCGCAGCTGTTTCCACGCCCGGTGCTCCTCCGACGACGGCCGTGGCCACTCTGGCCGTGGCGGCCGCCGCCGCCGCCGGTGCCATCCCCGACCCAAACAAGGGACAACCCAAAAGGCTGCACGTCTCCAATATTCCCTTCCGGTTTAGAGATCCTGATCTTAGGGCCATGTTTGGGGTGAGTTTTATATTATTTTGAATAATTTTTTTTCCAAATAAAATAGAAAACCACGTAACAAAATTCCAAAATTATTATTATAATATATATTTTTCATTTTTCAAGGATCAATGAAAGTCATTCAACAGCTCATTTAAAAATAACCTCTTTTTCTCTGATGAAAGATTTCAAGTTCCGTCTCAATCTACCACAGCCTTAAAAAATTGTTATTTTAATTTCCGAGCTGTCATTCGAGTTTGCATTCAAGGCAGCCAGTGATAATTTGTCCATCTTGCCTGAAGTATGTTGTTCCCTCTTGATAAATTAACGTTCGGCATTGACATTTAACCTCTGGCCAAGCCGATTATGTGGTTTTCCTCGGCTCTAGTTGAATATTTTATTGTTTTACTTGTTGCCCGGTCAACCGGCGGCGCGTTTGCTCTGCTGATGATCACAATGCAGTGGAGAATCCTCTTTCTCTATTCAACTTCACGAGCCTGAGCAAATATTGAATGACAGTCTGAATTAATTCACGTTTGCGCCGTGAATCAATATTATCACATTAAGCATGCTGCGTTTGTCTGTGTGATTAACCGAAGCTCTTTTGTTTCAGCAATTTGGCCAAATCCTGGATGTTGAAATTATTTTTAATGAGCGGGGGTCCAAGGTAACGTACCGAAACATTTTCTACCTCTCTTTGAACTAATAACTTTTTACAATCGACTCTGGAGGAATTGCGCTCTCTCATTTCCAGGAATTTTGCCGCGCCGGAGCTGAATTTGCTTTCGTTATGTCATTGTGGTGGCTGATTATTCACCTAGTGCGCTCTCGCCCATCCTTGTTCCGCTCGATGGGACGTTATGTCCGTTTCCTGCCGATCTCGATTTGATTCGAGACATCGCCTCCGAGCATTTCATTAAGCGCCATTAAATTTTAACCAGATCCGTGCCGGCACATTGGGTTCTGAGAGCGCAGTAGGCTGCAGAATCAATTAAAATTCATGTGATATTCGTCACTCCGAGTGCCGCGGCATGCACGGCCTTTTAAAACTTGAGCTGCTTTCGTCCCTACGACGACAGCGCAGACTGCAATACGTTAAATATTCATGACGATTTTGCCGCCCTCTTGATGCAGCATAATTATTTTCGACGGCGACGACGATGATAAAACTTTTTTTGCATCCTATTTTGAGAAAATGGGTCACAGCTAGAGCTAATGCCGCAGTGGAGAAACATTGCCATTCAGGCCTTTTAGAACAATTTTTCTCTTCTTCAGAAGAAGCATCTCTCGCTGAGCATAAATAAAATAAAATAAAATATATAAAAAAAGAGGAGGTCCATGTGTGCCGCAGCACGCGGAGGAGAGTTTGTAAGGAAACGTCGGCTGCTGAATGCTGCTGAGAAAGCAGAATCTTTATTACTAACTCAATTTATTTTCAGCCGCCGCTCTTTGGTGTCTGCGGAATTATATTGTTCCCTTGTTACTTCTAAGCCGTAGTTCATGTTTATCTTAACCCGTCCGTCCGTCCCCCGTAAATGGCGTTTTTCTCTCTTTCTCTCTCTCCATACCAAGCAAAACTTGAATATATTTTTTACATTCAAAATATGTAAACATCGTAATTGCGACAGGCAGATCTGTGTAAATATATAAAAGCATATAAAGTCCAATCCCTCTTTTGTGTCGCTCTTCTTATACGTCTTTACGCCTCGTTTTTATTTTGATTTCACTCTATATTTAGTTTTCTTAATTAACAACATCCGTTATTCGATGCATCAGCTACACTTTCTGCATTTCTTATTATTATTATTTAGTTAAATCGATTTTGTACTTTTTTAATTCTAATTAATTCAGCCCTCAAGCACCGTAATCTGCTTTCAATTTTAATCAAATCTTTTTAATTAATTTTGATTATTTTTGTTTTTGGTTCAATTTTTTCTACTTGTTTTTATTTTATATAATTTTTTAAAAATATATTGAAACTGCAACAACTGGATTCAGACCTAAATTCTGCTTGTGTATGTGAATACTTCATGTAACCCACAGATGCATTATTCTAATTATTGGCAGTTAGCAAAGAGCAGAGTCTATTGCGCCCCTTTCGCCCGGCACCGAGTGAAAAAGTCAATCTCAATCGCATTCAACTTACCAAATCCCATTTGATCCCCGGAGCGGGCCATTTTTCACGCGCCTGCCTCCAAAATTAAGTCGTTTTTGCGTCTATTTATTTTGCCGGAGGGTCGAAACGCGTGACGTTCGCCACTCGGCGCGCATTACAATCCATAAATATCTTTCTTTGCATCTCATATTGGCATCGAGCTCTTTCTTTTTCCCATTTGAATTTCCTTAAGCGGCTCCTTGGCGTGCTCGCCACGTACGGCGTCGACTCCCTCGCCAGCCTTCGCCAAGATTTATTCCTGATGCATCAATTTTTTATTAAAATGTGTGCAAATGTGCGCCCGGAGGAAAATTTCTCGAAACTCGGAGAGGCCCGAAATAAGCGGGTTAAAAGCAGTTTTGCATTTTATCACAGACACGCGCGCGCACGTCCCTTTTTTCTCTGCTGACGTCACCGAGACTTAAAATAATAAGCGGTTCCTCTTTTGATTCCGGTTGTTTTGATCGCGGTCCAAAGTTTTGAAAAATGCACGTGCTCGCCGAAAGGGGCAAAATATACATGTGTCAGTGCGCTAGTTTAGCGAATCGCTATGTTAGACATTGTGCTTTACTTGTGATGATTGCACTAACATCCCTTCAACAGCGACTTTGCCGCCATTGGATGTTTTTGGACTGGACCTGCCTAATCTCATATATTTACTATAATGGCATATTATATTTTTATAATTCACAATGTTCAGATTTTAATTTTTTTCTTTAATTCAACCTCATTCCCCGATGTTTACTACTTCCTACTTTGTTAGTTGAGCTCTTCACTTCTTTAAAATGAGAAAAAAATTAATATAAATTAAATAAGAATTCAAAATCCAAACCACCACCACAGATTTAGTCTGAACATGAACTTTATGATTTTTTCGTTGTTGTGAGCTCTTTGATTCGAGATTTATTATTGCTGCTACTCATTTCTCTAGAAATATTATACATATATATTGTTATTTCTCTCCCGAGTTTTTTCATTGTGATGATTATGTTGTTATGATAATGATTGACCAAGAAATCGTTGATGATGAACATGATTATTAATGCATGTATTTTTCTTGTATCTGTTTCTGCATGCAGGGGTTCGGTTTTGTAACTTTTGCGAGTAGTGCGGATGCAGAGAGAGCACGCGAAAAACTTCACGGCACCGTGGTTGAGGGCAGGAAAATTGAGGTGTGCATGGAATTTTTATTTTAATTTTTTTCGCGCGCCCGACTATGTCGCGGTTACTTGACGCGCAGGCCGATTATTGGTGCTTGGTAACATTGGCTGATGTTATTTACCAGTAATGCGAGTGCGTTTTGTAACGACATACGCGGGCTGCCGTCAACTTGTGTACTACATGGTTTTTATATACACAACATGTTAGGCGATCATGATATCCTGCACATTATTCTCTATAATAATAAATTAAAAAAAAGTAAGAATAGGGTGATATTTGTCCAGCTTTTAAAGGAAATGAATATCCCCTGCCCTCAATAAGAAAAGAGTTAACAAAGACGCCTCCTCCATGATAAGCCACAGCAGTTTCAGCACATGTTTAATTAAATTTTTCAATAATTCGTCTCTGAGCATGGCGAGTTTTGACACTGTTAAGATTCATTCACAATAATTAACTCAAACTTTTCATTAATCTTTCTCGTAATTCTTTTGGTAATTATTTTAACTCCGGTGTAGATTAATTTTTGTTAAAATTTGAAATCACTCTCTGCTGTTGATTGCATTGACACGTACTTCGTTGCCACACGCATTCAAAACACACATTTAATTTTTTCGGTTTGGCACGTGTGTGAGTAACTGCTGTGACTTGTGCTCATTTTGTAAACACCCGAGACTCCCACCAATAACATGCCCCCTGAGCAATGGTAAGTCTTGACTGTACAGAGTAATCAGTATTGTGGCTGAATCAGACGAGAATGTAAACCTCTTTGAAATCGATGTTACCCGTTTAAAGCGAAAACAAAGTAAGGGCGAACCGCGCGCTTGCATCAAATAATGCATTCGCTGCCCAAACCGCTTCTCTAGTTTAACACACACTAAATGTTCACCTATGAAAAGTATCGTAAATGAATGGTTTGAAAACTTAATCAAATTTTCTTTATTTGATTATTTTTGCGAAAAGAATTAATAAAAAAATCAATTCTCTCGCAAGGTATCAAATAATAATTAAATTTGATTAAAATTTTGCAAATCTTCAAGAATTAACTCCCGTGCTTCCCTCCTGAACTCCCGTTTGCATTATATATATAAATATATTTTAGTTGCAAGAGCAAAGAATGATTTTTGACAACACACACCACGTTTGTTTTCGCCCCTGGAAACATCCCCGACCCAGTCTTCGTTTCTCTCTGTCTGTTTCTCTTTATCTTTATATCATCGACCCCTGTGATTTGTCCAACCCGATTGTCTCTCACCTGACGATGCTAAATAATATAACACAACAGAGTCAGAACGAAGAGTCTCAATATATATAAATATTCTCCGCTTACTTAATTTATATAAATAATTATATATTTATAATTATTAATCAGTCCTTGCAATATGATGTTGTTCGTGTGTGTCTGTGCCGAGTGACGAGAGAGCGTGTGTCGATGAGAGAAAAAAGAAACTGAATAATTGCATCATATAAATTTATAATTGTGATGATCAGGGAATAACAAACACACACACAGGCAATTGCGAATCGCGGCGAGCCACCAGGTGTGTGTCTACTTTGTTCACTTGACGACTAATGACTTCTATTTCAGGTTCTGTCGCCTCTGCCGTTATTTGTTTCGTTCTTTTTTGATTAAACCATGTTTCATGAAGCGTGCTACATTTTTTGTTCTCCTTTTGATTTTCTATAGAGCGTCGGGCCGTAGGTCAAATATTACTCTCACACTCACTGTGGGCAATCGCAGTTCGTAAAATCATTGTGTCTCTCAAGTTAAGAATCCGCCCAACATTATGAGGGTCAGGTAAGACAAGTGAAGATATGACGGCAAAAATTTATCAGTATTTTAATTGAGCAAACGCAACATATACTTTCAAAATATCCTCCTCAAATTAATTAAAAAAATATATATAAATGTGGATGTAAAGATTGAGGCAATGGATTTGTTTATCATTTTTTTCTCCAAGTTTTCGGAGCCAAACTTTATTTAAACAAAAAATCTCCTTTTTCCATATCTTAAATAATTATTACTACAAAATGTGTACGTCCAACAAGCAAAACAAAAACTCCTGCTCCCCGTTCTCATATATATCTTATGTAAATTTGAGACTCCTTTTTGATGCACCGTGTATTTTAAACACACTAAGGAGATGAGCTGCTTTGTTGACATGATTGACAATCATAGCATGTTGATTTTTGGATTACTATGTTGACACCAAGTGCATTCATTTTTTTCCTATTATTTTCATTGCTGGATTAATACTGTTGCTGAAGGTTGGTTTGCTTTGTTGACCATGAAGTGCGAACTGGATTTCCATTAATTTTGATTTTTAATCTTACCACTAGTTGACTGTCATGAACTCGGAAATGAGTACGTACATAATTAATTATACAAAAAATAATATCTCTCTCTCATACCAAATTTTGGCCGTCGGCTCGTGTCGGCGAACCGGTGAATTAAAAAATACGGTTCGCCGCCCCTGTTCTTCACTCTTTGCGAATGCAAATTTTTGGCCTGTTTCTGCCCGCCCGCCAACTTTTCTCGTGCACCCTTATCAAAAATTCCATTATTTCCACTGCCGCACGAGTACAATTTAACGAGAGAGAAAAACGGCGCGGTTCATATCTAATTTTGGGCCCGAAACAACCCAAATCTGCCGCATTCGCACCCTGCATTGCGCAGTTCCTCGATAATTTTCCCAGTTTAATTTTCCAGTTTTGGGTTTGAGATGTTGATATATACACACTTTAATTTCTGCTACCGCTGCGTACTTTAGAGAGAACTTAGTGACTTAGACGATCTTGGTGCATCCCTGTACTGCAGTTGTTATTACTATACACACACTGTGTTGCCTCTCTCCTCCTACAAAAAAAACTCTTCCTCGCGCTCTCTTTTTATCTTTTGCAAAGCCGGGCTTTTGATGAATTTAAAATTTTGGAAAAAAAAAATAATCAACCGGCGTTTCGGATAAAAAGTGACGTTAGGTGGAATGCATCAGTGTTGGTCTGCCGCTCTGCATCATTTTCAGCATCATAAAATTAATTCCAATCCATTCGAACAGTCGGGTGTTTTGCATAATTATTCTGACATTGACACGACGAATCAACCCACACGAGTTTTTTTTTAAATCTCCCCAAAAGTCTTAATGTGGAGGGAATCGGGGGCCGTTCGTTGTAGAGGGTGAGGTGCCCCCATGCCGCTCTGCAGAGCAGTGCATCCATCTTTCAGTTTGGAAATGCTGTGTCTCTCTAACTTCCTTCATTTTGCTCTTCTGCACCCAGCCTGCATTCAGCCTTTATCGAAGTCATCTCTTTCTAAAATACAAATTTATGATTAATTATTTTATTTAAACATGCTGTGCGCTCGATTTTACTGATCAAACGCAAGTTTTCAGCAAAACTCGTGCGCACTTTCACGACTGGCGTTCGTTGTTGTTTTGAATCAAATTAAACTTAAAAAGACCGTGGTGTGTGAAAAGCGCAAGGGATGCTGCTGCACGTTTTCTGTCAAGCAAGAGAGCAACCCTAGACTTCTTGCTCTGTTTTTGTGTGCGTGCGAGTGCTCTTTTTTGTATACTATTATACTGGTGTTGTGCGTGCGTGCGCGTTCTTTCACTGTATACTCACTCATTACTAACTTTGGACAATTGTATCCGACTAGCTCCTAAAATGTTTTAGACACTCACGTCCTTGCGGCACTTTGGAGAGCCGACCCATAAAGAACATTCGCAAAGAATACAAATTTTGAATCGTCTTTTCTTTGGGAGCAATTAAATTTTTTGCGAATGCTCTGTCTGTCCTTCTCCCCTTCCGGCCCAACACATGATTCTTGAAACAAATTCGAGAGGGATGAACGGGGTGGCTCGCCGAATCGGCCGCACTCGCTTTTGATGTTGTGAGGAAGAATAATTTCCTTGTCTAACCACCTTGATTATTTGTTTCGTGAACTGCAACATACATTATCTAGCTTACGGATGTTCTTCAGCATGCTTAATATTATCCAACAACGAAGTATTTTTTGACTGTATTCAGCCCATTCACACAGTATTTAAACGTTGTCGAGCTTCTTACTTGTCGCCAAATAATCATTGTCGAGCTGCAAGCTTTGCCAGGAAGCCACTCTCGTTGTCAGATCTTTTGGCCTGCGTTGTTTTCTCAAAACTCTGAACCGCGACTTAAGGCCAGAGGTCGCCACCACCGCCAGTGGCCTCCTGATCCAGCTTCCCTAAGTCGGCAAGACGTGGGGTGCATTCTGCCCCAAGCTGCTTATGACGCAACCCTAGGGCTTGAAGGTTTCCAAAGGGCTGAAAACCGAAATGTGCATGTCCAAAAACAAGAGAGTCGATTTACTCTGTAAACATTTAGTCTTCTCAATAACCTGTGACTATCAGCACGACCTTAAACTTGCACATAAATATTGATTGATTGAAAGAAGGAAGTCGACTTATTGCAAAAAAAATTCATACCGACAACCGATTGTTGCTGTATGTTACATTTTTTCCACTTATTTTCACCGTCCGTTCGTTTAAGTTTTTTATTGTTTCACCGTCGATTCTCTTTACTCTATCATACTGTATTAATATTAATTTTGTTGCCTGTTTTTGTGTTTTTGTAGGTGGCTTTGTGTTATCTTGACTCCAGTAGATTGAAGCTACTGACTGACTCGTGTCTTGAAACAATTTATATCATAGCTTTGGGTATTGCGATCGTGGACGAATTCCCCTCACATTAAAGATCCACAATCTTCTATCTAAAATCTCACGAAAATGCGGAATAAAAATAAGAAACGAAAATATATAGCACTTTAATTTTTGCGTGCGTGTGTGCGTGCGAGTTTGTTTATTCAGTGTTTTACATTATTAGTCTGCAAGGCTACTTATATACTCTGAATATATCATCATGTTGCATGGATATCTTGATTACTTGTATTACTCTGTTCCACATAATCATTTGAAAATCAAAAAAGATATAATATTATCTCAGCCAAAAAAAAAATAATAATAATAATTGACAGAAAAAAATCCACCCCCCTAAAACGCAAACACAAAACACACAAACACCGAAAGGACTTTTCTCAGTCAAAATTCTGCTACAGTTAGTTTCGAAAACGACTCACTTAATCCACACAAGATACTTTTTGCTTTCAAAAACCATTTTTGATTTGTTTTCCATTGATCTAATATGTGTTGTATCTTGAAATGTAGGTTAACAACGCGACGGCGAGGGTTCAAACCAAGAAAGCGCCGACGGTGCCAAATGGTGAGTGTGCAAAATTTGTTTCCTTGTTCCATTTTGAAAATTTCCACCCTTATATACACCTTCTGTTTCCACCAACGGTTTTATCTGTTGAGATCATACATATACCATATTATATATTTATTCTTGGTGATTATTGCAACCAGCACTACACACTTTGCCTCTTGGAATTATTTCGTTTTTATGAAAGATATATTATACCATAGTTTTCATTAATACTGGCATGAAAAGGAAGCAGCTATGTGGTGGCAACAAAATTTAGGCACACCTTCTTGTTATTCAGGTTTTGTTTGATGTGATTTTTGGCATTTAAACAACTACTTATTTATTTGTATTCTTCAAAAAGTGAAATTTTCTATATTATTATTGAAAATATAAATTCAAAATTGATCTTTTTGAACATTTTAAAATGGTGGCTAAACAAAACTTTAAGGAGCCTCTTGAGTAGTACTAGTGCTAGATGAGAATGATTGTGCTTCCTGACAACAGAGAGACATACTTTATCTTTCCCACTATCCACCACAGACACAAAACCAATCGGCCGATTGGTTAGAGCAAAACGTCGAATTTGATTGTTACTTTGTATTTTAGTTTTTCTCACTAGGAACGGATCAGTCCCTTCTCTGGGTGAGATATTATCTTGAGCATCGTAACATTCATTTTAGTTTCTTGATGTGGGCCATGCCAGTTTTTCAATATATATTCAATTTATCCATAAATGTCTCGTCACGCTATCAATTTTGCTTTTTCACCACCAAAAAAATATATATATACTGATTTTCGCTTCATTGCCAACTCTGAATGTCCTATAGTGCCTAAAGCTTTAATTCCGCAATTATATAGTAAAATTCAAATTTGCATGCTGCCAAATTCGCACCAGTGTGCTTCCGAAAACCGTGTAATTGGTTTTCAATCCAGTATATTTGCAGCGTGCACTGTATAGTAAATTTTAATTTCAAACGCTTCCTGCAATGCTTTTTATTTAAGATTAAGTGGAATGCGGATATCATTTGTTTCAATCGTTCACTATAAATAGGTGGAAATCTATTTTTTTTCTGATAAAAAAATCATCAAACATTTGTGTCTCTGTACATAACTCCATCAAATATTCCTATAAATATACGCCGGGGTGTAGCCCACCCTTGCGCCCCTGATTTAAACCAAATCATACTAATCGATGTTATTTTCCTACAGTTTGCCTTCAATGGCCTGAAGGTTGGTCTTTTTTCCATATTTGGATTGCAATTATCACATTTATTTTATTTAAACGTTTGACAAATGCTTGAGGAATTTACTTGCATTGTGTTCACTTTATCCATTCTTTTGTTGATCGCTCGTCGTAAATTAAACTTACCGACAGCAGAAATTAATCGAGTCTAATTATTTGCTGCATGGTAGAGTGTAATTATTGTAATTATTCCGATCTAAACGAGCCCGCGGTACAACACATTATGGCATGCCGTGCATAGCATGACTCAAGCAATCGTAAAAAAAGAAATCAATGCATTTTATCAAAACGTACTTAATAAATAATTTATTGTTAAGATTTTTCAAGCACGCATTTGAATGAAAAAAAAATGCATGAAATTTTAAATCATGTTTAAATTCTACAGAAATATTTTTTAATTAAAAAGTTTCCTCATGAAAAATAACTTAAGTAATTGAATAATTTAACATACATGATGATATAATTTCTATATAAAGAGAATTAAATTTTTAATCAGATATTGCTTTAGAAAAATTGAATTATTTTTACTTTCCAATAAGAGTTATTTTATTTATAAAGTCGTCACTTTTTGTTTTCATTTGAATGATATAAAAGCCGCAGCAAAACTTGTATTTGTTATGCAAATCGAAACAGCGTAGCTTGCTGATTATGTGATTAAAATCGTTTTTGCATGGTTTGCGAGCACCGCGCGGTTGTTTGAGCGTCGCAATTGACTGAATTTGTGCTTTTTGTTGCAGTGGCGGCTCTGCGAGGCGTAGCCATCCAGCGCGGAAGGGTGCGCGGCTACCCGGCGGCTGCAGCTGCTGCGGCGGCGGCCGCGTTCGCCAGACACCCGAGTCCATTCTCGGCGGCGGCGGCCACAGCTCTCCACGGCTACACACCGTAAGCAGCAGAATTATTATGCTTATTTTCTTGCTGGAGAACCGCCAGAGCAAAATCCACTGCAATATGCCAATTTCCTCTCCGGCGAGAGAGTTGCCGCCCCTTATTGGCAAAGTGGTCGCGATTCCATTCGCTCCGATGAATAGACCGCGTCTGCCGATGAATGCCAGCCGCCGTGCTTTGTATTTCTTAAAGAGGATCAATTTTTGATGGCATCGTTTCCTTCCTTCCGTCCCGACTCTCACAATCTGCTACTCTTTCTCAAGTCTTTCCAAAGCAAACGCCGCTTTTGGATAATCTCCAAAATTAATCAAGTGTAATCTTCTAATATAAAAAAAAACGCGCAGCTTTTTTACTATATAAAACAATGAAAATTTTGGAATGATTAAATAATTAAGATACTGTTTATGTTAAAATTTTAAATTTTTGTTTGCGAAAAATTTACTGAAATTTTTTTAATGAAATCTGGGATTAGTTTTAACTTTTTGCTGAAGAATAATTATGTTTTGATCTTCAAATTTGTGCCCTGAAATTGGAAGATTCAAACTTCTGATATTATTAAATGGTCAAAACAAAACTTATTTTCTAATTTTCTTATCTTAATAAATTTTTAATCGTTTCTGTTGTCCAATATCCCAGATCATCCCAGAGGATTTTTCCAAAGCCCGTGGTGAAAACTTGAAATTGTGCTTATCAAAATTTCAATGCTTATTTCATTTTTACAGACTTTTCTTAATAATGAGAAAAAAATAATTACCAATTTATGAATAAAAGCAATATCTCGTTTACCGTTTTAGATATCCTTATTAATTTTTATAGATTTCCCATACCGAGTCTCTGCTACATCCAATAATTAATCAAAATCCAATTAAGAGAGTCAACGCGAAAACGCAATTACCGACGCGATGAAAAGTTTGCAGAGCACATAATTATTTTTAATTAAACTCGAATTACGTCGTAAAAACGCACGTCGCGACAATTAATTTTTAAAAGCAAACGGATAAAACCACCCCAACAGCATCACGTGCCGCACTCACTCCCATGCAGAATTATTATTTTTGCTCCACCGGCCGCGAGTCGTAAAAAATTTAGCTCTGCGGCACACGTGGTGTAATGTATGCTATTGTTATTGATCTGAGCGAGCGTTCGTGTGTGTGTTTGTTGCAGAGGTGTCTACTACGACCCCATCCTGGCGGCGCATGCAGCATCGCAGGCCGACCCCAACTACAGGCTTCAGGTACATATCGCCCGGCTTGCGGACGCCCCCGCGCCTCTGCTCTCCTAAAAAAATAACTTTAAAAAAATTAAAATATTACATAACTTTTTTTTTTATATAATTTGGAAAAAAAATACTTCTCAAAAATCTTTCTCAACCTGCACCGGCCCGCTGCATTTTGCTCTCTTCCAGGAAGCACTCTCTACAATAGTTGAATATTACAATTTACACTATTGTCAGTGACGTTTCCACCTTTGAACTCGCTCACCCCGTGAACCTTGACCTCCCATCGACCCCTTTTGCATAGACTAGCTGCTCGGCGGGCGCAGGGCTCCCGTAGTTCTCAATCTCGATGATGCATGCCAAATTTTGTCCGATTTTTCGAGTACATATTTTTACATATATACATTCTTCCTCTGCATGACTAAAAATTTTATTAAAAAAAAACTTCCACAGAAGTTGAGGTGTAAGGTCTCTAATGTGAACATTAATTAGCAATGATTAATAATTGTATTATATTTTTTCGTATACTTCTTCTTATGTTTTTTGCAAATAACTTCAGTTTTCCGGCACCAATTTGCGCTTTGGAAGGTGCGAAAAATTTCCTTTTCGCACCGTTCGAAAAAGGCGTCAATTGCCGTCCGGAAAATCATTGCCCCCGTTACTTGATTGATTGATTCTCAGTGATGTTGTACCATATTTAAACGAAACATTATGCACTCTCAGAAATGCTTTGGAATGTTGAATTTGATAACTCTTGATATCTCTGGATACATCCGTATTTGATACCATATTATGACTGACTTAATTATTGAGATTTATCTAGTTGATTTGACGCTGTTATTGGGTTTGCTTTTGGACTTTCTCACACTCATTGTAACCAGCTTTGTATTACTTCACAGAACTTAAGGAATCCAATATTATATATAAATATATGATTTTGTGTATTGATATCTGGATAGTGCGTGAGCGAGTGCCACTAACTGATTGTTGCGACAACACACTTGGCACTTTTCTTCTCGTTGTGTTGTGTCCATCATACTAGAAGTTTGAACGAGTAAACCCCTTGGTTCTCCAGCAAGTAGTTGGTTTACTAGCGGCTTCTGGTTCGATGCGGGCCTCCCGACCAAACCTTGGTGAATGAAACGGTGGCTGTAGACAAGTGAGATAAAAAGAAGTGAACCGATTCAGGTCCAGTGCATGCTGTATCAGTCGTGGGTCACTCTCTCGTGTTTGGCTGTGTATGCATTTTTACTTTTCCATACGCTGCTCCGAATCTCTCTTATCATTTTCTCTTCAAACTGCTGAATGCTCTTGCAGATGACCTGCCCTGAAACAAATCACAAAGGCAAATCTTTGTATTAAATTATCGAGGGTATTATATAAGTTGGATTTTATTAATCAACCAATCAAATTTTTTTTAAATGGTTCAGTTAAATTTAAACTTCCCCTGGTTTTGCACGAAAATTTAACGCTTTTTCCTTGACTTGCTTCTATTAACTCGGAATTTTTAACAATTTTCGTTGCAGAAATTCTTTTGTTTCGAGTCATTTAAAATCCGATCCTGTGACGAGGGGTCGCTGTTGAGGAGCAATTTTATTCCCCATGCAAATTAAACTCCCTCGTCGCTTTCAATTAAAAGAAGCCCACTAGCGCAACCGTGCCATTGTTTCCCGCCCGCTGGGGCCAAGTCTGTCTTGACCCCTTAAAAACTTTGCTGCCGGTCGAAGCAATTAAAAGTTTGCCTCGTACATAAGAAACGCCATTATCTTCTTGTTTTGAGGAGTCGTTGGAACACTTTGTTTGCGAGTGACAATTGTAATGAGGTGCATTGCGCCACCAGAGACCTTTCTTTACTCGCCCCCCACCAGAGAAATCTTGAGACAGTCAAAGCTCACCCCTTTTTTTCCGTGTTTTTCCTAATTGGCACTTTTACGGCTTCTTAACAAGAAGGGTGGGTGCAAAAAATTAACCGAAATCGTTAACAACAAAAAAGGAGCATTCAGCACCATAATTCATTTACTCTTCTCTCGCGAAACTAGTCAGTTTTTTATTATTTGTTCTTTCTAAAGAGTAAAATCTAGAACGGGAAAATATACAAGGGCTGAACACAGACCGCCAGTGTAAAATAAAAAGTTACGATTTTCATTCAAATTTGCATGCTTTTTAGGCCAAATTTGTATGAACAAAAAAAATATGCATCCCTTGTGAATTTTCCCTGTTCTCCTGCCAATTTTTGCTCGCCTCTTAACATCAACCCCATTCAATAGCAGTGTGTATAAATTTTTGTTACATAGCAGTGTAGTTTGCAGCATTTTCACTTCTTACAATACTTACACTTTTTGCACAATTTTTGCCGCAACCTTTCTCTCTCTCTCTATCTAACTCCCCAATCTGTTCGTTGCTCAAACACCAATTTATCCCATTAGTGGATTCGAGAACCATATTTTTTTCATTATTATCAATCTCTATATATCTCTCTTGTTTATCATTGTCCACATGTTCCAAAGAAAAGGACAGGAGGTATTCTAGACGTTTTTATGTTTCAGGCTGGGCATACCACCGACGAGGTAATTAAATACTTCTTTCAAAGTATTGGTTTTCTCTTGTATAATTAAGTTCACTGGCCTTGGGCGCATCTTGCGGATAAGATGCGCTAACAGTTTGTGAGTATGTTACACGCATAGTCCTTAACAACAAACTACAACATTTTAACACCGTAACGACAGAATTCAGGTGCTGCTTCCGGAATTTGTTATTTTTGTCCTGCGGAGTTTGAAATTAAGTATTGTAACAACCACCGAAAATAATAGCCGTTCGTGAGATTTGCTTTTATTGTGCATAAAAAAACACTTTTGTTTTAACACATTATTTACGATAACTTGCCACGATAATTTTTCTCCGCAGCACGCGATAATTCACGAAATTGCTTGAAATCACACAATCGTAGCTGGTCATTTGTTTTCCGTCCGCGCCCGAAGGCATGCAATAATTCGAATAAGTGAGCTCGCATAATTTCCAAGCAGCATCGAACAAAACAATTCCGCACTTACACTTTCCAGGGATAGCCATCATTTTTCCGAAAACTATTAAAAATCAAAATCAATAAGTTTATTGAATTTGTAAACAAAATCATATTATTGACTGTGATAAAAATTTTTTAAGTTAAAAAGGGATTATAGATATAAGAAATAGTTATCACATAAATTGTGCTTAAATTTAACAAAATAAGTGTCAATGACTCAAATAGAAGTAATTTTATTTATTATTGTTGTTTATTTGTCCAAATTATATACATTCAATTGTTGAAATGCTTAGAGATTTATAAAAATTATTAACTTTCAATCTTGCATATAAATGTTTTTTAATTAATATTGAATAATTTTCATAAGCGCTTCCAAAATGATTTTGTTTGAAATTTCAGATGAATATGAGATTTTAGATTCATTTTTTTCTTTCTTTAAATTGAACTAGAATTAATTCTATTTTATTATCAACATTAATGTTATTCTACTTAACTCATTTTAGTGTTCTTCTCCGTTTGTAACTTAAAAATTCCGCTAGTTAAACACAAACTTTAGTTTCGGACAAGTAATGGCGTCCCTTGACACTCTCAGTCGTAAAAAGGAAACATTCGCGCACGAAGATGCATCCTTGGTCGGAACAGCACTAAACAAACCGACGCATTCCGCGCACCAGCCAAACTACTGTACCATCCCATGTTATCCTGACACAGCTTCTTGCTGCTGCTAACTCCTGAACGCGGTCGTCTGTGTCTCTCTTTCTCTCTCTCTGTGCGAATATTAACAACTAACCAAGCTGCGGTCATTGCGAATAAATGTCGTTTGCTGGTCGCCCCCGAGGCTGGGCAGGAAGGCCTTTTAGCAGCCCTCGTTCCATCAAGTTTAGGACCTGTGACGAGATGAGACGACCGCTGGCTGCTGCTGTACACTTTCTAAATAATGTCTCTCACACACATTATTCTCCTTCTTTCGTTATGATTTTTTTATTTTTCACTCTGTGTGTCTGTCGCCAAAGTATTTCTCTGATGAACCAAGTGCATAGTGTTTTGCGGCAACCCTTTTTTTCTTTTTTTGATAATAAAATTAAATAATATTTCGCCCTTGTCGCGCCGAGCAGCTTTGTGAACTGATATTAAATTAGGCATGTCCATCTATGCTACTTTCCTCCTTTTTAGACCCGACATTTTTTTCCTTTTCTTGAGGTGGGGGCAAATTGTATTCTCTGTTGAAAGGTGAACTGACTGATTTGTAATATATATAATAACTCCTTAGTGCATGCAGAAATTTTTCACATGTGCCCCGGCAGTGTCTGAGTCTGAATCGAATAATTATCAAGTGATTCACCATTATAAAGTAATTATATTTCTGTAAATCAGCTTTTCCCTTGTCCTCCCATTTTGGTAGATTTGTTGCCAACGGTATAATAATTTTTATATATTTATATCAAATCGAGACTTGTGGTTCGTTTTTAATCAATCATGCACTTTTCAATTTTGTGTAGATTAGTCCGTTCATGTTCAGTTACCGTAGCTAGTCGGAACAATCAGCAGTGTTAATTGAAATAGTTGCACCTGATGATTTGTTCAGAAAAGCTTCTTTTTAAGTTCAATGGCTGCCCGCTTTAGAAAGACGCCGGGCACCGATGCCGGAATATTCATATTTATACTTTCAAATCCATTTTTTACTGTTGCCAATTATTAGACTTAGTGGTACTTTCTGTACGTTTTTTTTTTATCATTTTTTGATTAGCGACTTTTGAAACAACCACAAAGTCAGCCTCTTTTTTCACTCTCATTGACGTGACAGGTCTACGACGGGTCTTTTTACTACTTGCTCTAAATTTGCTTTGAAGGCAACCCAAGTGCTGAATTGGAATGCAATGCAATGGGCTGTTAAATTGAAAACTGAGTTATTTCCCCCAGACCGATTCTTGGCACTCACGCCTTTTGTGCAGTCGATTTGAAATTATGAACCGTTGAGGAACCGTTCAAGTGCACCTCATTGTGCCACGGATCAAAGAGATGGGCGCCGCCGTTTTGGACCATTTCGGCTTTATGCCTTTCTTCGCCAAATTTTATTTCTCCATCAAGGCAGAATTTGAAATTTCCCATCTCCCCGGTGGAGAAAAGGAAAAAGAAAGAAAGCCTTCCGAGCGGAACTAAAACGGTAAAAATAATAAAAAAAACGGCGGCGCTCAGCCTCTTTTTCACCCCTCAGGACTAACACCCGCACCACCTCCCACCCCAGTTTTGAGGGTGGAAGGTGGTGCGCGCAACAAATGTGTAAATAATTTCACTCAAGAATACTTTGTTTCTTGAAAAACAAAAAAACAAGCAAACTTGTTATACTAAAAAATTTATATATACGACTTCTTGGTTTCTTGTTGTTGACAAAATCGTTCTTTTCTCTGATATTTTTTATGTTGCTCGTGTCTGCCTGCCTGCCTTCTGCGTGCTGCCTGTGTGTTCAATGAATTCTCTCCTCCTCTTGGTACCACCAAATCAAACTCAAAACACAGCAAGCGGCGGCCTTAGCAGCAGCTGCTGCCAACAACCAGGCGGTGGCCGGCATGACGGCCTCGGGGCTCAATGCCCAGGCCGCGGCGGCCGCCGCGGCAGCTCCTCACCTCTCGCTTCTAAAGGCCCCCGCTCTCTCCACTGCCCAACAGGCCTCCTACGCAGCCGCAGCCAGCTACACGGCGGCCACAGCCGCGGCCGCGAGGGTCGCTTACGGCGCGGCGGCCGCTGCCGCTGCCCAGCAGCCCGTCACCGGCTACGCCGCCGTCGCAGGGTAAATATCACAAAATCTACTAAGAAATTTGAAGTTCTTTTCTAAATTAACAATAAAAATATAAAGAAAAGTTGTTGAAGGGAATTTTCATAAATTTTGGATTTTTGTAAATAATCACATAATTAACTGAGAAATTATTTTTTCATAGATATTGCTTATTCCAATTTGTAAATTTTTCAATTTTATGAGAGCAAATTGCTCATAGCAATTCCCTATTTTTACTTGTGTTCTTTTGAAATTAAATTTTTTTTCCTATTCAATCTTTTTTACACCTAATTATGAATATTTTAGAATAAATCTTGATCCTTTTTAATATTGAAAAAACTTCAAAGCACTCTTTGCCATTCAAAATTTTCAACTAGTTTGTCACCAAAAAGAGGAAATCGTTTCAGCTTAGATATATATTTTTATAATTTTTGTAAAAAAAGTTGTTTTGCTCTGCCAAATTTTTTATAAATATTAATCATTCAATCTAAAATCTCATAAATTTTGCTGAACGTTTGCGATTCCATTGATTACCCAAGCGTCATTATTTGAAAAAATTAGACAGTCCCGCCCAAAATTGGCAAAATCGTGATCCCGCAGTAATTGGCAGTCTAAATATAGCCGTTGATTATCGTTGCCTGCGAGCGGCCCTCGAAGGGAATGCGACCATCTGGGCCACTTTGGCTAAATCAACTCTAGTCATGCAACTTGATAGATAGAGTGCTCACTTCGAGTTACATCATCCCGGGATGCAGAAAGGCGGCGGCACTGAGCTGGAATCTCATTGATTATCCTCGGAACAGAGAGCGCGTTTGGACTAAACAAGCAGTGCTTTGAATGTTTTCTCAGAATGCAACCTTCGCGTGAACCGAAATATATATTATAATTTCCGATGGTTTGTTTGCAGAAACCCTCTCTGCCTCTCACCGGCAACAAGCAGTTACGGCCGCGAATACGCAGACCCCTACCTCGGTCACAGCATAGGACCGGTGGCCGGATACGGCGTAAGTGTACTAAAAATTTTACCTTTTCTTTAAAATAGAGAATGAAAAAATTAAAATTTTAAATAATTTTTTTGTAATTTAAACATAAAAAAGTATTTAAAAAGTATTGCAAATAAGTTTAAAAAATTGTCATTTTCTAACTTTTTTGTTTTTACTAGTTCATTCAAAAAAATTTCTTTAAATGTCACTAATTTTTTCATCTCATTTTTTAGGCATCGGTCTACAGAAATGCCTTCAACCGATACACACCATACTAAGAAGAAAGGCCAAGGAGAATGGTTGAGATTGATTGATTCCTCTGTAAATACGCCATCTCATTTTACTACATGACAACAATCCGACTCGAGTAGCCAGGTTGGAAGGGACAAACGTGAAGCAGTCGTAGTGCCCCCATCGACACAAGGAAATTGGCAGCTACCGCTGTGAACAAGATTTTTTTCTTTTAGATTTATTTATCGATATTTTTGATTGGTTCATTGACCAATTCTGTCTCTCAAGACAAACGAAACCAGCACAAACAAAGAAAGCACAGAGGAAAGCTCGGCTCAGCCGGCTGGAATTAGACAGAACGAATCTCCTGACACTTGATTTTATTATATTTAAACGCATTAATTTGCCAGGCTCTTTTTTAAAGTGTTGGAATGTAAATATTATCTCTCTTTTTTTTAAAAATTTATTGTTAAAATCAATTTTGTTCCTACACTGATGATCAAATATTGAGTTTGTCGCTAAACTAGGGAATACTCGATGTATGAATACTACCTTCTCATAAGCAAGCACAACTAGAATCTCGATTGACGATTTTATTACGCACATCGAGAAAGGACAAAGCAACCAAACAAACACCGGCCGACGATTTTTCCCGTCGGGCCGCGCGACAAATCGAGAAGAAACTACTCGCACACACACACATGGAAAGTGTAGCACAAGTGGGCAAAACATGTTTTGTGCCAAATGATAATGAGATATAATTAATGATATATAATTTAAAGGAAAACAAAAGTGACGGTACATAATCAAATTATGTATTGAGTACATGCGTATGTTATGTCGAAGCTTCAAGTGATGCTACTTGACGAAAAGCTGATGTAATGTTAAAAACCTACTATAAGATTATATAAGGACACGTAAACACACACAACACACCCCCGTTTTAAGAATCTCTGTAAAAAATATCGAGACATTGCTCCAGTTTGAAATAATATTTTACTTCAGAGTGGTCTAGCACCCGAAACGACAACCGTGAAACAATCAACCCTTTCGTTTTCTTTGTACGTGGACAAACTAGTTGTGACTGGAACAATACCTCAAGCAAAACCGAAAACACCGTGAATTCAGCAATTTCTCGTTGTACCGTAGAATCTCTTGAAAAAACGAAGATTATTTTGTACCGATGAAAGAAATGAACAAAATTGGTTAATATTTTAGATGATAAGCAAACTCCAGAATACTCATTGTGTCTGAGATCTTGGCGATTAAGTTCAATTTTTAATTTTAAATGCTAGCTCGTAGATTCTTTTATATGTTTTTAAAATTAGAACATATCCTCCTTTGATTACCAATATTATGCGATTGATTCAATTATTTTGAGAACACAAACCGCTCTATTCACTTGTTTGCGCCACTTCAGTAACAGTTTCTCTTTCATTTTCTAATGATTGTCAAACCAAAGAGCCGTAGATGAGAATCAATCTTTGTGAGTAAAAATATAATATATGCTCAAATTTAGATTACACACATGCACACGATTCACACTCAAGCACACGCCATCCAGGAGAGCACTCGAGTTGGCACGAAACCCTTGGTTGGTTTTAAATTTTATACCTCTCTTGATACATAATTATTATATATTGGAATTGCGCGCATTCATTCGTTTTTTGCTCAATACTCATTGATTGTTTTAACACACTGGACAATTATTAACAGCAAACAAAACGAACAAATTGAAAATTAGAAGATTTTATCACACTCAAAAGATGAGAGACTTTCGGCTTCGTTTTCTTTGTCTTCCATCCTGTTAGATTTTTCGGTGTGCAACTTGGTGCAGCACATGTGGCGTTTCAATTTTTGCCTCTCCCGGGAGGAGTCATTTGAACGTTTTTACGACTACCACAAAAAGAGAGAATTGTACACTATGGTGCTTTTTCGCGAGATTAATTTAATAGCTGGCGAGGGAGGCGAAAAAAATTTTGAGGGAGAATAAAAAATAAAATGTTTTCACTGTGACACGAAATTGGAACGCACAACTCCTAAGCTACACCATTGTGATTTGTAAGTCCTTTTGACGTTGTTCATTTCGCACAACTCCGGAAATTTTTTCTGTTACGACATGACAAGAGGAAGAACAAAAATATATTAATTTTTGCACAAAAAATAGATATTTTAGCTGTACGTGTAAATAAATTTTAGCCATGTATTTGAACGAGAGCGAGCGAGTTGAAGTAAAAAAAAAAGTTAAAGAATTTGTCACAGCTTCCAGATCAAAAGTGAAATCACCAAAATCCACTTGCATTTTTGGCGTGGATTCCAATTTTTGTGAAGAGTCCTCGCAGACTCTGCGGGCCCTCCAAGTCTCGTTAGGCAATCTAATTAATTATATACACTGTAATATTTACATTTATTAGTACGATAAAACAAAAAGAACACAAAAAGCTAGAGCGCTGCTTTTTGTACCGGAAAAACAAACAGTCAGTGCGTCTGTCCACCCGAGAACTCGCTTTCGACCGGTCCGAGTAAACAAGAAAAGCACACACTGATCGCACATAATCACCACGAGACGACACTCTATATTGAATTGAAAAGTATATTTATACGATTCAATCTCTAGGTCAGACTACAATGGACAATTATTACGATTATTATTACGGTTATATAATGAAAACAAGTTCCAATTGTTTCACCTCTTATTTGTATGCCATCATTGTACACTGATTTAATTGGAACGTGTCTAATTGATTAAATACATTTACAGAATAAGAATAAAAACAAACTGCTTCTCATTTCTTATCAAATCCCGCTGCAGTAGAATCAGAAGAAAAATCATTAAGTTGCAGAGATCAAAGCGCAATAAGGCATCGTAGCTGATGATTCTAATTAAAATGAACTTTGGCCTTCTGCAAATATTATTGTCAAAATTTTAAGGTCTCGTTATCTGTTGCTCTTCATTGGAACGCTTTGAAATTATCACATTTTATCTTGGAAATTTCTGCGAAAAAGTGCTTCAATTATAAAGCTTTTAGGTAACTGACAAAAATAATTATATGAGCTACTCTTTATTTGGACCGTTTTTCATTGAAAAAATAATTAACATTAAATTTCAAATTCATCATGAAAAAAATATATATATATTTCACATTTGAATTCAAACTGCAAAACAGAAAAAAAGTAAACTTCAATTTTAATATTTTAGACTGCAATTAATCAAGGTAATATGTCATAATTATAAAATAATTTTGTCTAGTTTTATAGTTTCTTTTAGCTCTACGGAGAGTTACAACTTCTGAATTAATTCTCAAGAGCAGTTTGCAACTCGTAAAGTAGTCTGAGAAGAAAGGAAATTACGGTGGAACGTGTTTACTTAGCTAGGCTCTCCATTAAAACCTAATTATAAGGGCGATGTGCGTGTTATCTCTGTCTCTAGAAACCAGGTCTTGAACTTTTAGAGGGCAAAACGTGCCCGCATTCCGCGTTATTTTCTCTCAACATATCGAAGCTTCTCTCTGTATATTCTCTTATCAGTAATTTTATCAGCAGAATCGCTCTCCGTACCTTATATTCTTTAAAGAGACACAGTGGCACGTATCTGAATTGTTTCCAGTTCGGGAGTTCAACATGTTCGTGGCAAGAAGGTCCGTCCGGTTGGTGGTCACTCCAAAGACGGAATTGGTGCGCCTCTTTTCTGCAAGCAACACCCTTCTTCAAAATGCGTACGAAGCCAAAAAGCACAATGGAATTTACGATCCTGAAACTCATATCGTTCGATCGCCCTATGAATCTGTCCTGCCCGACTGCAACATCCCTGAGTACGTTTGGAGGAATTACAAAAATTGGGAAAACAGTCCAGCAATGGTATAACTATAGAAAGATTACTTATTTTTAAGCCCTTTCATTTGAAATAAAATTATTTTTATTCTTGAATTCGAAAGAAAAGCATAGAAGAGTTCATGCCCTACGATGAAAAAATTCCACATTTTCCCGCCAAAATAATTCGAGTTTTGACAGATGTCACTCTTTTTAAAGCACTAAATTTGATGGAATTAGCAAATAAGAAGTTATTATCACTGTAGACTTGATTTTTGACACCTACTCTCTCAAAGCTTTAATTTTTTTTGGCGGGAAAATGTGAAACTTTTTTATGGACCCCTGTTTCAACCCTTGTGCAATTTTTTTCAAATCGCAATTTTGATTTTCAGTGTGAATTTTGTTCTACTTTTGAATTCTAGAATAAAAATTTATAACTGAAGAAGCACTTTAAGAGAGACATAAAAATTGAATGTGGAAATTTTCATACAGACGTGTGGTTTGACCGGCAAAAGTTTTACGTACGGCCAAATGTACGCAACGTTTGACAAATTCAGCATCAACTTGCCGGCGATTTTCGGTCTGAAGCAGGGAGACGTCGTGGGACTCGTTTTGCCGAATATGCCAGAGTACGCCGTAACTTTTTACGGGTGTCTCTCGGCGGGACTGGTGGTCAGCCCGGCAAATCCCCTTTACACTGCAGGCAAGATTTTATCCTATAAGTTTTCATATGAAAAAAAAATCTTGATGACCGCGCAAAAGCTGGTGCGGCTAATGAAGTTTTTCAGCCAATTTTTACAGTAGCGACAATTTTATTATGAACTTTCTTCAAAAATTTATAAGATCTGTGCTGCTTTAAAAATGGTGAAAAAAAATAATAAAAGTTAATTGCTTATTAAGTGGTTTTCAAAGTTAATTTTTACGTTTCCAATTTTCATTGTGAAATATCCAGAATAGAGAGATTAATTAAGAAAAGAATTTTTGTTGGTTGAAAATTAATGGTTCTCCTTGTGAAGTAAAAAAATTAAAACTATAAACATTTCATAAATTATATAACGTGTTATCATACTGAGCGGCCTCGAGCTGTAATTGACATTCACTTTCATTTTCAATGCTAAAAGTGAACTTTAATAAACTAAGATTAAGATAAGATTGAATCAGAGGTAAAATTATCACCATCCATAATGGCATAATATGATTATTAAAATGAAACTTGAACTCTTGAGACCAGATAATATATTATTCTTTGCAAAATGTTGAATTTTAATATCCTTTTTGTTCAATTGTTTATAATTATATGTTGTTTTCTTTTTTTATTCATAATTTTATTCATCCCTTGGAAGGTTGTAATTAGAAAACTTTAATTTTGTTTCAACAGAATTCAGGTGTCTTATAAAACGTTGGAAATTTAACATCTAATTGTAAAATCATTATTTTTTCTCTTTCCATTACATATAAAATTTCAATTTCAACTTTAAGTTCCTTCAAATTGATTGAGTAATGCAACCTGCTGGACACGCACGTCGAGCGGGGTGCCTAATTGGCCAATTTCGAGTTAACCTTTTTTATTCCGCAGACGAGCTTCTGAAGCAGTTCACGGACGCCAAAGTGAGACTGGTGGTGACCATCCCTGAGTTGGCCGACCGCGTCAAAGAGGCCCTGGGCAAGATGCCGGCGGGTGGGGCGCCGATGGTGCTGACGGACGGCGCCAAGTGCGACTCAAAAGAAACTTTCGCCTTTGAAGAAATCCTTTCGAAACAAGTCAAAGGCGCCAATCGGCTCGCGAAACCCGGGCCGGAGGCGTTGGCCGTGCTGCCATACTCGAGCGGAACCACCGGGGTGCCCAAGGGGGTTGTCATCACCCACCGGAACATGGTGGCCGGCCTGGTCATTGCGAACCACGCGGAAGCTATTGCTGACAATGGGGAAAATTCTGGTTTGTGAATTTTCATTTTTTTTTCTTTTATGCGTCAATTACATTTATTTAAAACCATTCAATTTCAAATGAAAACAAGTTCAATAATTTAATAATTTTAATTCGCAGGATAAAAGACAAGATAATATAAGATTATAAAAAGTTTAGACTTTTTTAAATCCAATCAATTTTTCTTCTTCAAGTAATCAATTTAAAGGGAAGAATTGTAATACATTTTTTTAGCAGAAATTATTATATTTAAAAAAGTAAATAATAATAATTAAATTTGCTATTGCAGATGGGCTTGATTCAACCTTAGCTGTGATTCCATTCTATCATATTTATGGTGCAGTCATTATAGTGGGCTCTTGCTTGAGTCGCGGAGCACATGTGATCACAGTACCTCGTTTTGAACCAGTTTCTTTTTCAAAAGTCTACGAACATTACAAAGCAAGTGATTTTTTGTTTTGCTTCTTTTTTGTACAGATTTTTGTAATGTTAGTCTGATGAAAAAACTATTTTCAAAAGAAAAAAACGAAAAGAAGGTGAACAAAAAAGAAAAAAAGTGAAAAAGCATTTTTCAGTAAGCCAATTTTTTTCACACATAGATAGTAATAGAAGTAATATTTAAATACAGGTATTTTTTTGATTATTTGTCTTTTAATGATAACAGCACCAAATATCAAGGAAGACCATTAAATGGTTAATTAATTAATTAAAAATTAAAATCAAAAGAAAAAAAATTGCAAAAAAAAAATCAGAATAGTAAATGATCAAATAAAATTAAATTAAAAAATTGTAAAAAGTCCTCAGATTCTTATTATAATTAACGAAAACTAATTTCAAACTTCCAAAAATTTTTAAAATATTATAAAAACTGCGTTCTTTTCCTTAGCCGTCACACATGTTCCTAGTTCCTCCCCTGGTCCACTTCATGGCCAGGTCGCCGACCATCACCAAGGAGGCCATGAGCAGATTGCGATTGACGGTCTCAGGAGCTGCTCCTTTGTCGAAACAAATAATGGACGAATATATCGCCAAATCCGGACCAATGAGCACATTTAAAACAGGTTAATTGAAATTTTAAGAGTAAATCAAAATTAACCAAGCATATTGCGGTGGATTTTATAACTCTAAAGTTTTAAAATAATTGCTGCACCGATTTGTCAAAAAAACTTAATTGTTTTGTAATTATGGATAAATTATGAAGAATAATTGCAAATTTAATTATAAAAGGTTACGGAATGACCGAGTCGACGTGTTTGATCACAACAATGCCCAAGGACATGCCGACGTGCAAATCCTTGTCGGTGGGCCCGCCAGGTTCCTTCACCGAATTAAAAATCATCGACGGTGCTTTAAAAACGCTGCCGCTGGGCGAGGTCGGCGAGCTTTGCGCGCGAGGACCGCACATCATCTCTGGTTATTTGAAAAACGAAAAAGCGACCAAAGAGACCATCATTGAAGGCGGTTGGCTGCGGACAGGTGACGTCGCATTCTTGGATCAGTACGGACACGTCAACATCGTGGACAGGGTCAAGGAACTCATCAAGGTCAAAGGATTCCAGGTGCGGTTCTTTTCATTGCAATTGTTTTTTTCATTCAATCATGGGCAGTTTTTTTAAACTGATATTGGAAAAATCAATAAAAAAAGATTCCACATTTGTGCTTGTTTGCAAAATTTAAATTTTAGTATATTTTAATTTAAAATATACTTTCAAATTTTTAAATTTAATGTTTATTAGTATTTTATCCGTATTTCGCATTTCGCAGCCTTTTTTTCTCATCTGATATGAGTTTTTAATTTTTTTTTTTTATTTCCTACAATTATACTTTTAAATTTAATTCCTGCTCAAAAATTTTAAAAGATAAAAATCTTATAAAAATATATAACTTTTTTGGGTTCATAATTTTCAAAATTTAAACTTTATTTAGGTTTCGCCGACAGAGTTGGAAGCACTGTTGATAAAATGTGAAGGGGTCGCTGACGTTGCTGTGATCGGCGTTCCGGACGAACGGTCGGGAGAAGTTCCAAAAGCTTTCATTGTCAAAAAACCGGGATCGACCGTCACAGTAGAAAGCATAAACGAATACCTGGAGTCCAAAGTGGCCGAATACAAGCAGCTTCGTGGTGGAGTAAAGTTTGTAGACGCCATTCCTCGCAGTGCGGCTGGCAAAATTTTGAGAAAGAATCTGAAGCATTTCTGAAAATAAACTATTGCACACAATTTTTATGACACTTATTGTGATTGTTGCTGATTGAAATTCTTACACAATTTTAATCTGAAGTGTGAGTAATGTGAATTTACTGATTAAAGAAAAAAAAATTAAAATTACGTTCAGCCTGGTGATGAATCAAAATTTGATTGTAAGACCTCTGATAAAAAATAGGACGTACTAATTTAAAGCCGTACGTTCCAGAATGTACTGGTGAACGGAATTTTTAATTTGAAGTACTTTAATTTTAAAGTGTGTCATTTAATTTTTTCAGATTTGTAAGAATTATTACATCAAGTTGAAAACGCATTAAGATTAACCATTTTCTGATACGAAATCAGTACCATTGTTTTCGGTGGGTTGGACAATTTGATTTCATTTAATTTCATATCAAGTAATATTATCTAATTTAATACTTTTTAAGTAGTTTGCATGTGTTAACTCAATTGATGCTAACTTTTTTAATGGCAAAAAGTGCTACCTATAAAACAGAGTTTCCTAAAAACGTAATGGAAATCAATAGTGACCTTCAATTGTAAGATAACAAAAATTGTGCAAGTGGCTCGAGCATGCAATTACTTTGCAATCCTTCTTTTAAACTCTACATATATGCGCACTTATTACATAAATAAAATATGTGAGATTTAGGAGAAGGATTTATAATTTTTCCTGCAACGCTCTTTGAACCAAGAATTTTCGTTTAATTCTCTTGAAAAATTCAAAACAGCATTTTCCTTTCAAAATTTCACCAAAATAAAGTGAAGAATAACGGGTTTTGCGCTCAATCTAACAGTTTTTTTTATTTAAAAACAACGGCTCTGCCAGTTTCTGTGATCCAATTTCATGAGCTAAAAAAGGCCAGCAAAATGGAAAAAAAAAACACCTTTGGGTCGCGATGATCAAAACTGGTAGCATCTTCTGTTTCTGATGGTAAAAAACAAAAGTAAAAAAAAATTGACAAAGCCTGTTTTTCTAATTGGATTTGCAAATTTTTTGGTGTGATTTGTTCAATTTGCTTATACAAATCCATGATTAATATAATGATTGTAAAAAATTAGAGAAAAAAATGAAAGACCGTGAAATTCATGTTACAAAATTTCTTTTAATTTAAATGAAATTTCTCCATAGAAGATTTAAAACGTTGATAACAATTCATATCTTGCGCTATATCCAACCTCTGTCCTGAGACGAGATGATTAAACAATAAAAATCAAATAATTTCATAACATTTTATATATTATCTGACTATCGCACGATCGGCAAGAAATGCGATTGGATTATTAAATTCCTGACTCACATTTATATAGCAGTGGCAAAGTGTGCGATCAGAATCAGTCTCGAACTGGATTCCAAGAATCAACAGACAATTTAAACAAACTTTTTTAATTCAATAGTTTTATATATTTTTTTGGAAAAAAAAATGTTTGCAGTGGGAAGGAGTAGCAATACCTTGCGATATCAAAAATTTTTTTGGAAAAGAAATATTTTCGACCAGGCGAGAAAGATTTTTGCTTCGGATAATATCAATCCTATACCGCCGGACACAAATTTCGTCGATTTTGTTTGGAAAGATCATCACAGATGGGCGAGCAGAACTGCCGTTGTAAGTTGATTCTTTGCTTTATAATAATTTTTTTGGAAATTGCTAACAAAAAAATGGTAAAAATTATATTCTTTGCTTTTTTCTAAAAAAGACTCGGTAGAAAAGTAATTTAGTTTATTTTTCTTTCTTATTAAATTTTAGTTCTGTTCAATTATTTTTACTGAACTTTTTATACAATTTTCACCTGGTTTCAAAAGACGTGCGGCATAAGTGGCCGCAGCTTGACGTACGGCCAGACCTTTGGAGCTTTCGATCGACTGAGCGTGAATCTGCCTGCCAAATTGGGTTTGAAAAGTGGAGACGTCGTGGCTCTGCTTCTGCCTAACGTGCCCGAATTCCCAATCGCCTTTTTCGGTGCAGCCTCCGCCGGTCTGGTCGTCAGTCCGCTCAACCCTCTCTACACTCCAGGTTGGAATAAATGTTCTTTATGAAAATACTCTTTCCATAATTTTTTCGGAGTTAATGAAATGAAGTTTTTTTATTGAAATCATTTGATTAATAAAATTTTTTCAATAATTTATCAAGTGAGCGAATAAAAATTACAAATAGTTGTTTTGTATTTATTATTTCAACACTTAAAATTCTTAAAGTTATTTAAATAATTTCTTTTATAATCATTTTTTACATATATAAATTTATATTATACTGATTTAAGTGTGGAAAATTCCAAGATATAAAAAAAATCTTGGCAAAATATCAGTTTGTTCCATGTCAACACATCGTGATATATTTAAATTAAAAAATTAATTTATTTGAGCACTGAGGTTTGAAATATTTCACTGCATATAATTGAATTTTATATATTTTTAAAATTTATTTAGACGAGCTGGCAAAGCTTTTCGCTTGTTCCAAAGCGAAAGCGGTGGTGACGATTTCCTCTCTTTTGCCCAACGTGAAATCAGCTTTTGAGAAAAATCCCGGGGTTGGAATGCCCGTGATTTTGGTCGACGGTGCAGACACGGAAGACCAAATCAGTCTCGAACGTTTGACCACCGAAATCATCAGGGGTGCTGAGAGGTTGGAAAAGCCTGGGCCCGAGTCTCTGATCGCTTTGCCCTTTTCGAGTGGAACCACCGGTGTTCCCAAAGGGGTAGTTTTGAACCATCTGAATTTGGTCGCCAACGTGTGCGGAATCAATCACCGCGACTCCATTCCCTTTTTTGAGACTGGTAATAAAAATTCACTATTTAAATTTTTTAAATGTTTTTTTTTTTAGCAAAAGAGTTAAATTAATATTTTTTTGTACAAAAAGGCTCCACTATTGCTGTGATTCCGTTTTTCCACATCTACGGAACGGTTATTTTTATGGGAATGACGTTCAACCGTGGACACCATTTAGTCACTCTACCCAAATTTGATCCTTTGACCTTCAACAACGCAATCAAAACGTACAAGGTGAGAGAATTTTTAATTAATGTTAATACGTTTATAACTTAACAATTAAATTAATAAAGGATTAAATAGTAAAAAAATTATATACAGAAAAAATTTAAATGGAATTTAATAAAATTGCATTTTTATATAATTTGAGAAACACTTTTTATTTTTTAAGCCCACGTCGTTATTTTTGGTGCCACCTTTGATGCTGCACTTGGCCAGATCACCGCAAATTACAAGCGAAACGCTGAAAAATCTGAAATTTATTGGAACTGGCGCGGCGCCAATTACAGGACAAACACTGGACGAGGTTGTTTTAAAAACGCAAATCAATGGGACAATTGTGAAAAATGGCAAGTTCAGAATAATTCACCTGGTTGATATTTTATTTTAATCAATGATATTATTTATTTGAACCAAATTATATGAATTATTATAAAAAATTTAGGTTTCAATTGAATTAATTTTCATAAATTTTAGGATTCGGAATGACGGAAACGGCGGGAATGATTTCAATAATGACAGACTCGATCAAAGTGGGGCAGAAAGCGATTTCGATCGGAACAATTAGTTCAAACGCGGAGGTGAAAATCGTGGGCGAAAATGACGAAACGTTGCCTTTGGGCGAAGAAGGCGAATTGTGGATTCGCGGACCGCAAGTCATGAAAGGCTACTTGGACAACAAAGAGGCGACAAAGGAGATCCTCACCGAGGATGGGTGGCTGAAAACGGGGGACGTGGCAAGACTGGACGAGCACGGGGCCATTTACATCGTGGACAGGCTCAAGGACATCATCAAAGTCAAAGGATTTCAGGTATACAATAAAATAAACTAATTTATCAAGTAAAAAAATATAATATAAAATAATTTTTAAATTTTGACCTAAAACAAACTAGGATACATTTAAAAAAAAACCAAAGCTATGCAAGTCTCAACATCTACATTTAAAATTTCATCTATTTTAGGCCAAAATTGATTTGAAATTTCAATTTCAATGAACAAAAAAAGAAATCGTATATCAAACTTTATATTTTTACCGCTAAAATTAATTTTTTTTTCAAGGTGTCACCGACCGAACTGGAGGACATAATAGTAAAAATGGAAGGTGTGGCCGATGTAGCGGTTGTCGGGGTGTCCATCGGTGAGGACGAGGGTCCAAAAGCGTGCGTCGTGAAGAAAAAAGACTCGAATATCAGCGCCGAAGACGTCATTTCGTATCTGGACGCGAAAGTTGCAAAGTTCAAGAGACTCACGGGGGGAGTTCAGTTCGTGGATCAAATTCCAAGAAGTGCCGCTGGAAAAATACTGAAAAAAGATATTTCAGTTGCTATGTAAATTAATTTGATTATTTTAATAATAAAAAGTTATCAATATAAGGAAAAGTGAAATCTTATTTTGTTTAGTTTAATGCGCAGTATTATTAAGAAATCAATAACAGTTTGAATAATTGCATTATTTATTAAGTGATAAAACATATTGATAAGAAGAAAAAAACGATTGAAATTAAAATTGCGCAAAAAAATGCACTTGGAACTTAGAACCCGCAGCTTATATAAAAATATCATGTCATTCTACATTATAAGCAAGATATGGTGCATTTGATAAAATCTGAAATCTTCGTTTTGTTAGAAGTCATGACTAATGGATCAAAGTGTCAACGCACGATTTAGAAAAAGCAGACAAATATGCAATAAAGTTGTTTGACCGATTTGACATTTGAAAGAACAGACAAATAAGATAAAAAAAATCGTTATCTATACGATCATATATATAATTGAAAACTATGGCAAAACAAACACGAATTTATTGGCCGAGTTTATTTCCTTTTCAGTTTGCTATTGCGTTCCAGATAGGCAGCACCGCAATTTTATATAGTCTGAGCGAGCGACGGTTTAGCCGCGGCTTATTTTTACCACAATCGGGGAAATGTTTGCACTCGTCGGAAGGCGTTTGGGTGCTGCGGCTGACAGGTCGTTTTTGGTCAAAAGGAACATTTTCCACGAGGCTTCCAAGATTTTCACCTCCGACAGCGAGACGCATTTGCCGACTGACGTGAATTTCGTCGATTATGTGTGGAAGGACTACAAGAAATGGGAGAGAAAATTCGCCCTGGTGAGTAAACGTTCAAGGTATAGAGCTTATCTTGATGATAAAAATTAATTTAAAATAATTTTACCAAAATTAAATATTTTAAAATAAAATCTTAATAGATTACATTCAATTTTAGTTAATTGATGATTTAAACTTATTTAATTTTGACATTACTTTATTTGAAATTATATTCATGAATTTAATTTTTACAAAATTAAAATAGTCATAATTTAAAATCATTATTTACATTTTTACTTGAAATAAATATAATATTAATAAAATTTTGCATTATTGTATTATTTATAAAGTTTAAAATATTAAATTTTTTAGCATTATAATGATTTTAAAAGTTTAAAAATTTTAAATTTAGTTTTAATATTATAAACTTTATTAAAAAATTCAAAATAAAATTTATAAATAAATGTTTTCAAAAGCGTAAATGCACATAAATATATTTATATAATTTTTGGCTTTCGTAAGAGACTTTTTGTGTTGTAAATGAATAAAAATATGACTGATTTTATAGACCTGTGGAATATCTGGGCGGAATTTCACGTATGGCCAAACCTTCGGCGCCTTTGATCGTTTGAGCGTCAATTTGCCCTCGGAACTAAATCTCAAAAGCGGTGACGTTGTTGCGGTGCTTTTGCCCAACATGCCTGAATTTCCAATCACGTTTTTCGGCGCCGCCTCTGCCGGTTTGATCATCAGCCCTCTCAATCCCCTATACACCCCTGGTAAAGGATTTTTATTTTAAATTTATCAAATAAAAATATGTAACAAGGAAACGTAGAGTAGAAGGAGATAAAAAAATGATAAGAGCAACATTTATACATTTTAATCTGATTATTGATTATTCCAAGCTAACGTTCGAGACGATTCAAGATTATTAATTATTTTTTTTTCTTTTTTAAATAGGATAGTGCAAAGTGCAGTAAAAAAATCTATTTTGTACTTCAAATGTTTACTTTATCTGTAGATGAACTGAGGAAACTGTTGGCCTGTTCGAAAGCGAAAGTGGTGGTGACGATTGCGTCTCTCCTGCCTAAAGTCAGATCGGCTTTTGAGAAAAGTCCCGGGGGTGAAATGCCCGTGATTCTGGTCGGCGAGGACGACACGGAAAAGGACGTGATTTCGTTTGAAAAATTGATCTCAAAGGATGTTAGAGGAATTCCGAGATTGGAAAAACCAGGACCGGAGAATGTGGTCGTCTTGCCCTTTTCCAGCGGCACCACCGGAAGTCCGAAGGGGGTAGTTTTGACCCACTTAAATCTGGTTGCAAACGTCAACTCTTGCAGCCACCCTCACGCTATTTGGAATTTCGAGACTGGTATATATAAGAACATTAAGCAAATTATCTCAATCGTCATGGTTTTATTTTTCAGAAAGGATAAAATTTTAGTTGAATTTTTTTTTTTGAGCAAAAAAGCAAAAATAAAAAAAGACATTAGAAGCGGGCATTTAATTTTCAAATTCTCATTAATATAAAATAATATTATGGAATGTTTTTATTAATTTAATTTTATTGCTAAAATTTTTGAGACTAAAAACAATTTATGTAAGTTTTTAGTAAAATTTGTCCTAATATTTTCATACATACAATGAAAAAAATTGAAAATAAATTCACTGTAAAAAAAATGCTTTAAAAAGTATTTTATAATACGTCCCTAAGCAAGCCAGAATTTAAATACAAAGTGCAATAATATCCTAAAAGAGTCAAATATTTGAATCAGATTGAAACAGTTCACAACAAAAAATTGTCTGAAATTAAATTAAAAAAATGAATTAAATTTTTATATTTTATTAAAGATTTAAATTTTAAGGTGATGATTCAACAATTGGCGTGATTCCGTTTTTCCACATTTACGGTCTGGTGATATTGATAGGCATCACTATCAGCAGAGGAAATCGATTAATTACCCTTCCCAAATTTGATCCCAACACATTTGTCAATGCCCTCAAAACGTACAAAGTAAAATTGATGGTGTCCGAAAACTTGCCTGTAAATGCTATAAAAAATTAACTTTCCAGCCGTCGTATTTGTTCCTGGTGCCTCCTCTGATTCACCACATCGCTCGATCTCCACAAATCACCAGCGAAATGTTGAGCAATTTGAAAATGGTGGGAACAGGAGCTGCTCCGATTAATTCAAAAATCATTGACGAATTTTTGGAGAAAACTAAAAATGCTGGGACCATTGTGAAAAATGGCAAGCAAAATTTAAAAACTTTTAATTTGGACGAAAAAAAAATAGTTTTAAAAAATTATTTAAATTTTTTAGGCTACGGTATGACGGAGACCAGCGGAGGTGCGACCTCAATGCAGGAATCTTTACAACCGAATCAGCAGGAAATTTCCATAGGAAAAATCATTTCAAACGCCGAGGTGAAAATTGTGGGCGAGAAAGACGAAGCGCTGCCTTTGGGGGAAGAGGGAGAGCTCTGGATTCGGGGGCCGCACATCATGAAAGGATATCTTGACAACGATCAGGCGACAAAAGAGATTCTCACCGAGGACGGGTGGCTGAGGACAGGGGACGTGGCGCGAATGCATGCCGACGGATCAATTTATATTGTCGACAGGCTCAAGGAGCTTATCAAAGTGAACGGTTTCCAGGTAAACCAATCGAAAGGAATAAAAAGCTACATTTCATGTTCCTATATAATGTAATGCTAAAATGTCCCCACTAACGTAAAAGAGTCAAATTCAAAAAAATGTAGCGAAAATGAACAATTAAAGAACATCTTGAGGAATCTACTTTTATTCTTGAAATCAAAAGTAGAAAAAAATTCATGACCGATATCTAGATCGAAAAATTTGCGCCTCAAAGGGTTACAAACAGGGGCTCACTGAAGGTCCAGCTTTTCCCAACAACAGCAATCTCGAGAGAAGTTTCAATCTCAGTCAAAATATTTTTCAGTAAACTTGCTTATTTCATCATATTTTAACACTGATTTTTGTACATCTGAAAAGCTTTTTTGAGAAAATTTTGTTGGGATCCTTCACCATATGAAACTATTCATTGTGAATATAACTAATTATCCCTTTTGTGCAGGTATCGCCGACCGAGTTGGAGGGACTATTGATAACTATGCCGGGTGTCGCGGACGTAGCTGTGATCGGGGTGCCGCACAACGAGCAGGGCGAAGTTCCCAGGGCCTTCGTCGTAAAGCGCGAAGGCTTGGAAATCACGGCCAAGGAGGTCGAGCACTTTTTGGAGCCGAAAGTGGCCAAATTCAAGAGATTGGGCGGCGGAGTGCAGTTCGTCGACGAGATCCCGAAAAGTGCTGCAGGGAAAATACTTAGGAGAAACTTGAAGGCGATGATCAGATGAAAATATTATATGGCAGGTGTACAAAAATGTACATATAATTTAATTTTTGTCTCAATAATTGTGTAATTAGAATCACTTAATATAAAATAATTGCAAATTCACTCATTAAACACTATTTATATAAGTTCAAAGACAAATACAACTCTGCGTTTTTATAACATTTTTTAATATAAATTAATGTAAAACTTAAATTAAATATTTGTATAAATGCCATTATGAAATAAATTCCAATAGTTGTAATTTCAGTTTATTGGTGCACTACAAGGCAATCTCTGCCTATAACGAGATAAATTGAAAAGTACAAAGAAAATGTGAGATTTGAGTTGAAAAAAATACTCTTACATCAAATATAGAAAAAAATAGATATCAATGATTTTAATGAAATTCAACTATAATTAAAATTGAAAAAAAAAATCAACACACCTCAAAGACGCCTGGAAAAACCTCTTTGCTCAGCTAATCAAAAAAGTTCGACTGCACGCTTCAGAATGTTGGGTCGCTTACCAAGCCGGACTTCTCAGCCGAGGGTTGTCCAGGTTGTCGTTTGGCTGGCAAAGTTCGTCTGGCTGTCTGCACGTCTGCAGATAGGGAAACACGACCACTCACTCAGGAGAGGGACCGATGAGGGGAGGGCCGTCGCGATTCGACCTTCGACCGCAACCACAGAGTTAGACAGAGAGAGCATCCCTGCTAAATCCCCTATGCGCGAGCCTGAGTGTCTCCTGCCTCTGCAACTGACCTTGGAGGGGGGGAGGGGGGGCACGAGCTGCAATTGGGTAACCGGATATAAAATATAAAATAAATTAAAACTACCAACTCTATAATTTTAGACAAATATAAATAACCTAAAATCAAACTTATACTGACTTATACTTTACGCATTTGGCTGTCGAAAATTATGTCATTTATTATTACTATTTTTTTTAAAATAATACTATGATTACCATTGATAGACATAAATTTATTCGAAAAGACAAAATCTGATATTTTTCAACCAATTAACAAATCCAAAATATTGTACGCTAAGAACACAGTTATTCGGAATTACCATTAATTTAAAGTTCTAATGAACATTAATAATGAAATGAAATTTATTTCATTCAGAGTTTCACTCTTTTAGATAATGCAAATTATTGTGGCTTCAGGTTGAAGCTATAATTTCAATAAGAATTACATGTACATAGGTTTTAATTTGAACTTTAATTGCACTAAAAATTAGTGTGGTTTAATATAGACCTTTTATTTTAAAATTATAATTTTATTTAAATAATCACGTTCGTCCTTGATTATGGTATTTAAAATACAAATCTTAAGTAGGAAGGAAGCCTGCCTACTGTGTCTATTTCCCTATACTCGTTATGCATGCACCCATTAAAAGGTCATATAAATATAAAACGGAGGAGGGAGTCGAGTCGTGGCGGCTGCGTTGGTGAAACTCGTGATGCGTTCAGTGTGTGTGTAATTCCCATCACTAGGACACAACCAGCGTCATTCCCACTACTATTCATCTGACAGATATCCAACTTGAAAATTTCACTTCTTTCATAACAACAAGGCAGTACCGTAGAAGTTGTCAGGCATACATGCGGAAAAATGTTTCGGATTTCGGCGCCCGTCTTGGCCCGCACTGGAAATAATTCGGCCTTTGTTTCGCGACTGAAAAGCAGTCAAAATACTGTCAAGCACTGCAAGCAGGACTACATTGACAAGGGCAGCCACGTGGTGCGGTCGCCCTATACGGACGTCCCGCTGCCCCAACTCAACGTCGGCGAATATATCTGGAGAAACTCGGACCGATGGAAACACTGGCCAGCGCTTGTAAGTTATTTGCTTTTCACATCCAACTATATTCCATACAATATAATAATTTAGCTTTGGCAGAAAATACTTCCAATATTTTATCAAGTTACAATAATAACATTTTATTCTTACCCTTTTGCTATTGTAATAATATAAATTTTCAAGATACATTTTTAATTTCTTATATGGGAAAAGTTTTATTTTAGTATATTAATCTTTAAATTTGTTTGTTTATTGTTGTTATATAGCGTATATGAATTAAATGGTTAATTGCTAAAATAAATTATCTATTGATTTTCCAAAGTTTTATTTAGATTATAATATTATCTAGGATATTGAGTATTTTGTAATTTAAACTTTTGGTTCATGTTGTTTTCTACTTTTACTTTTTAGTTACAATTGTGTTTATTAATGTACCACCGGGCATTCTCTGCCCAAATACATCATCCATACATTCAATATTATAAATTACAATGATTACAAGAGAGAGATTACATAAAAAAAAAAAATAAAAAAAAAAAAAAACAACTTCAATGAAACCTTTTTTAGTTTGAAATAACAAGTCTTTCAGTAACAATAATAAAAATAAATAAATAAATAATTTATCAATAAATTGAAATGGATAAAATGTAAGTCTTAATCAGTTGTGCATATTTTTATCGCAGCAATTAAGTTATTTCTTTAATTTTTTTAATGTCTTGGCTTTTTTTAGTTGTTAATTTTTTTTTATCTCTATGTCCCTTCCAATCAAAGTTGTTGAAATCCGAAAGAATATAATTATTATAATTCCTTTTTGTGAATGGATTTCAATTGTGCGACGAATCACTTGTTTTTTAGCAATGCTATTTTTTATGGTTTGTAGCATGACGAACCTACTGCGCAGTTTCGGATTACCAGGAATTGTTTATTTTTCCTGGTGTGCTTTACATTTTTTTTAGACGGAAGGCTGTACTTGCTGAGTTTAATTGTTCATATTATTTTTTCTTTAAAAAAAGAAAACACTTCAACGTAGAAAATAATGCAATGCGGCTAATGATTAAAGTATGAATCAATTGCGATTTGTAAGAAAGAAATAGGATGGTTTGGAAATAATTGATAAAAAATGAGTCATTTTTATTATTGCGCTTTATCCATATTATGCGGTCAACAATCTCTTCAATCAGGAAATTATTATTGATGGGGAACAAGTCAAAATTGATTCATTGCACTTTGTTATGCTCTGTATATTCCAGAAGGAATCACAATAATATAAAAGATTAAAAATAAGAAAACAGTATATTTTTTGTATCACAGAAATTATATTAGCTTTTTATTCTATCATATATTAAATAAAACCAAAAATATTTAGAAAATGAAATGAATTTATAAATATTTTCACTTTCCCTGACAAAATAATTTATCATTTTGCAATAAAAAAAATGCTGATTTTTAATTTTTTATAATTGTTAATACTTGCCCTATAAGAAAAGATTGGCCAGCCCGCATCATCCATGCACGAAATTGAAATGATTTTTTTTTTAATTGCAGACATGTTCAGCGACGGGACGCAGTTTTACTTTTGGCGAAGCGAGGGCAGCTTGTGAGCGTCTCAGCATCTCTCTTCCAGCCACCCTGGGCCTGAAGCAGGGCGACGTTGTGGGCGTCGTTTTGCCCAACATGCCCGAATATGCCATCACCTTCCTAGGAGCAACTTCTGCAGGACTCATCGTTTCGCCTGCCAATCCACTCTACACAGAAGGTAAAATTTCAAATTAAAATAAATAAACATTAAAAATCTTAAAAATGTCTAATAATAAAATTTTGCTAAATTACAGTTCACAATTTAATGATTTTTGCAAATTAAATTCCTTAATTCATTTTTTTTTTATGTTTTTATGATAAAAGTTTGTTATCTTTTGTATATTAATTTTTATTCATGTATCTCATTTGAAAAGATATTTTCTTTGCAATTGAAATTAAACTAAAAAATAATTCACGGAAACGGTTTTTCATAGCATAAACACCAGCCCGGTGAACTTCATTCTTATTTCATTGCAAATAGCTTTTCGTGCTGTCTTCGTGTAAATTTATTCCACCGCATCTTATTTCCGCTCTATAATTATAAATGCAAACAAACGCAAGGTCTTTTGTCACTCTCTCTCTACACGTCTCGAGGTGCATTGACTTTTTTTAGCGTGTGCGTGTTTATCTCTTCGCTCTCTTCAAGGGAGGTCGCTCACTTTTATTCTCGTCAGCTCCGACTCGAGTTCCTTGGCTTTTCTCTATCACGCACACCCACCCGTGCTGATTAATTAATTAATCAGAAAGAAACGGAGAGAAAATAAAAAGGCGGCTGCGACCTAAGTCAATGTCATTGACAAAGAGCGGCGACTCGCAATACCAGAGACGTCATTCAAAAGCCGCGTATCTCTCTTGCAAGTAAATAACAGGGAATAATAAAAAATTGCACTTTGGTCTGAATTGTTCAATGATAGCGAGTGAAGCTTATTTGCAGTCTCGAGATGCACTTTGCATTTCAAAACCACCGGCGAATTGCGCAACAATCATTTTTTTATAACAGGTTGATAATGACATTTTTACTTGAAAAAAATTACCGAAAAATTGCTTTTTTAAATTCAACAAGACATGTATTAATATAGTATTAAAATTTTAAATTAAAACTTTACTTTTATATTGTTTTAATTTGAGTTTAGTTGATTTAAACTATATAATAATCATAATTATTATTTGATTTTTTTTATTATTATTATTCGGTAAATTTTTTTCTTTTTGACGCAAAATATATTTTAATTTTTATGATTTAAAATGTTACATAAAAAATTTTAAACTTTTAAATTTAAATAAAATGTTTTAATTCTCTTTATTATCATTTTTCTATGCAAGCAATATTGAGTTGGCCTGTTGACCTGTACTCCTTTTGATTATTATATTAAATTTTATATAAATTGTAGGGCGTTGATGTAAACCATAGAACTCATAATAATATTCAAACAATCTATCTTTCAAGAAATTAAAGTAAAATCTCTAATTTTCTACAGAGGAGTTAGCGCGACAGTTTGAGAACGCCGGCGTCAAAGCTGTGGTGACCAACCCCGAACTTGCCCCCAAAGTGCAGCAAGCCCTGTCACAGGTGCCGGGTGGCGGCGGCCCACTGGTGCTAACCACCGGTGGTCCCGAGGGCAACGACCTCTTCAGCCTGGACGAGTTGATGAATCGCGAGTTCAGCCGACGAACGCCGCGGCCCGCCCGACCCGACCCTGACTCGGTCGTCGCGCTGCCCTACTCGAGTGGAACGACAGGTCTTCCCAAGGGGGTGGTCATTCTGCACCGGAACATGGTCGCTAATTTGTGCCAACTTGAACACCCCAATGTGCTGAGCTTCCCCAAACAAGGTGTTTAAATTAAACTTGTCAATCTCCCATTTAATCGTTAGTTGCAAAGTCGTAATTTCTCAATAAAAAAATGGAATTAGTTTTTTTTTTGTATTGAAAAATCATAATCAAATTATTCTAGAATTTTATTAAAATTTTAAACAGGCTCTTAACCTCTTATTTAAAAAAAATTATAATGAAAGACCCTAGCTGTGACCAAAACATTACCTGCTTTTAAATAATTTTTTTTTATATTCTTTCAATTTTAAAATTTTCAACTAGAGATAAAGCCTGGTTTCATGCATTTTTATTATTTGATTTTCAATCATATTTTTCTTTCATAATTGTAGGCGCTCCTCAAGATGTGGCTGTTGGTGTCTTGCCTCTTTTCCATATTTACGGTCTCAATGGGCTACTTAACGTGGGCCTCAGCGTCGGTCGTCACACAATAACTGTGCCTAAATTTGAGCCGAAACCTTTCGCATCAATATTCTCAACCTACAAAGTAAATTTCTTAAACAAGGATTTTTATATTTAAATGTGATTTTATTTATAAATATAATTTTATGTTATTAGCCCACTGTATTGGCTTTGGTGCCTCCACTGGTCATGTTCCTGACCCAGTCCGACCTGGTTACGAGCACCGACCTGTCCCGCGTCCGTTTCATTAGCTGCGGGGCCGCCCCGGCAACAAAATCGCTAATTGAACAATTCATGGAAAAAGCCCAGTGCTCTGAACTCGATTTTCGCGAAGGTCTTTAATTTTTTTTATATAAAAAATAATTTATCAACACCAATTATAACTAAATTAATCAATGTTTATTTATTATAGGTTACGGATTGACTGAAACTTCGTGCGCCGCCTGTTTTGTCCCCAGTTGGTCAGGGCTGGACAAAATCGGCTCTTGCGGGGTGCCGCTGCCCTTGACCGAAATCAAGGTGGTGGACGAGCAAGGTCAAGCTCTGCCCTTGGGTCAGACGGGCGAGCTGTGGTTGCGAGGGCCGCAGGTCATGCAGGGCTACTGGCGCAACGAAAAGGCCACCAAGGAGACGCTCACTTCTGACGGGTGGCTTATGACGGGGGACATTTGCTACTTGGACGACGAGGGCTATGTCTTCATTGTGGACAGACTGAAAGAACTGATCAAAGTTAAAGGGTTGCAGGTCTGTTTAACTCCAAAATTGTTATTTAATTAAAAAAAAATTCAAAAGATATAAAATATATTTATAAATGAAATGTATAATAATTAGAAAAACTTAAAAAATCTAAATTTGTATTTTGAAAATAAAAACATTTTTAGTAGTAAAAGTTAATTAATAATTAATAATTATTTAAAATTTAAAAAGTAATATATGTATTTTTTATTTAGTATTAAAACACACAAAAAATTTGTAAGTCTTTCAATCCATTAAATAAATTGTGTTTTCTTTCAGGTTTCTCCGACGGAACTGGAGGGCGTCCTGCGTAAGATGGATGGCGTTTCCGACGTGGCAGTAATCGGCGTTCCGGACGCACGCTCTGGAGAAGTGCCAAAAGCATTTGTGGTGAGGAAACCGGGCAGCAACATCGCCGAGAACGATGTCACAGCGTTTGTCGAGGGCCACGTCGCCGAGTTCAAGAAACTTGCGGGCGGCGTCAAATTCGTTGACGAAATCCCCAAGAACGCTGCTGGCAAAATTCTGCGCAAAAACTTAAAAAACCTGTGAAAAAAGACTGCATGCTTATTGTATAATATAATTATTTTACTTAATAATGTTAAGGATTTTTAAAAGATTAATAACAAAAAATATTAATTTTCCAGATAACAAATTGCATTTTATTTATGTGTCACTATAACAAGTATGTTGAAATTTATTTATACTTCTTCATCTTCTTTTTAAAATTTGAATCAAGGAGACACAGTTTAAAACGTTTAGATTTTTGTTGATACAGAAAATAGCATTGTATGATTTCTATTTGCTTAAATATTTTATTTTTATAGTATATTGATTTATTTACATGCAAGTTTCCCTTGACGGAGGAAAACTGCGATCAAACTTGGCTGGCAACATTTTTCTTGCTCAACACAATCATCGTCGAAATCAGTTTAAGTTTTAATCTCACTCATTGCGTGTGTGTTTGTTTGTGTACATGAAAAACAACTGCTTTAGAGGTCTTCAACTAATCACCAAGACTATAAACGTAAAAATTGACTCTGAACGCTGCGACTAAAAGAGAAGAGGAACAACATCTTTCTCGATGAATCAATACAAAACAATAAAAAATTATCTAACTACTGCAAAAATAAACCAACATTGTCCAAAATCTTAAAAAAGTATTTTCTACCAAGTTTAAAATCAGTGAAAGTAGTAGTAACTTTTTATACAACTATCATTGCTACTGTTAAAAGATGGATTTCGAAAGTAACAACGATGTTGAAATTTGATAAAGTAATTATTACAAAAAGTAGGTTCAAAATGCAAATCACTATGGGAGATACAAATCAAAAGGGGATCGACTAATCTCGACAATTTACAAGGGGCAATTGTTACAAAATTTAAATGCAACAATCTACAAATTTTTTCCACAAAGAAAAAGTTCATTATTCCGCAGTGAGATCTAGAAAAATGAATAGTTCCACAATCGAAGGTGTGCATAATAATAATCGTTAAAACCTTAACCCTGTTCTGTGAGCAATTCATCAAATTAGGCAGGCATCTCCATTTACATCTCAAACGGAGGCTACTAATTATTAATTACACATTTCTCGTGACAATAATCATAGCATATAATAAATTGCCGAGACGGCTTAAATTTTCATCAATTCATGTAAACACAGCCCATTAGAAAAATTCAACGTTAGCTTTTGTCTGTGTGCCTTTCGAATCATTGCAATTTTTTTCTACACCAGTCAGTCTGCACCTCAGTTCACATATAATAATCTTTTAAGGCAACATTGTGGACATTTCCTCAACAGATCCGAATAAATCGAGAGTACATAAAATAATCCTTCTTGTGCCGACGTTTAAAAAACAGACCAAGGTCACACTTCCGCCCCCAAGTCCTGCACCCCAGACTCTGCGATTGGGATGAACTTGTCGTCGATCTGCATGAGCACAATGGTCCTGTCGACGTGAGAGCGTTGGCTGATGTCGCGATGATTCGGCACCCACCGGTGCACCACCTGGCCCTCCATGCCCTTTTCAGGAAGCCAGTCTCGCCAGAAAGAACGGCCGCCGCGATATCGCATTCGCTCGTCTGGCCAAACAACATCAATCCTCCGACCCATGTTGATTGTGTCGTACACCACATTGGGATCGAGAATCTGAATTTCAATAAAATTTTAATTTATGCAAATAAAAAATGAAATTTTTAACCTACCCTAACTCTTTGTAGTACTGGCTCTTGCTTATCAGAATCTTTACTGGCAGTGGGAGTTGATGTGGCAGGATTTGGAAGGGCAGCTTCGTAATCCTTTTCTCTCTCCTTCAGAGAACTCGTGTCTGATATCAACCCTGAAATGAGAGAATTATTTAAAAGATTTTTTCGATAAAAAATAAAAATAAATAATTTACCAGCTAAACTGGCCAAAGTGGCGCTTGACGGTTTTCCTGCATTGCTGCTGATGGTCGACCCTAGGCTGGAGCGATTTGCTCCCAAGGAAGTCCGTCCCAGACTTCCTCCCAGTCTGCTTCCAGAAATGACACTGCCCATCACAGGCGTCCCTCCGAAATTTGTCTCTGAGATTCCAGACGCTGGCTGCCCGCAGCCGTGGATGCCATAGTTGGGCATGGTGTAGATGCCCTCGTGGCCGAAGCCGCCGTCGTCCTGTGGCCCGATCCCTCCACTTGAACAGCCCTCGCCACATCTTGTCCTCAAACGGCGCCACGCCCTCATCACCGCCCTACGAATGGCGCCCATGCTGATGGGCCCTCCAACTATGGTGGCCAACTGCTCGTTTGTTTCCGCATAAGAGGTAGTCAGGGGTGAAACGTAGATTGGGTAGCCGATGGGCTGATCACACGAAGAGTTGATAATGTTGCGCAAAACCTTCAAAGTTGCATGAATTAACAACAAATCAAATAAGTCTGTGAAACCAATTTTTACCTGCTTTGCATTTTGAATGCTGCCTCTTTCGGGATTTCTATTTCTCAGGTAAACCAACTCTTGCTGCTGACCAGCCCAAAGTCCTCGAACACACTCTCGGTTGATTTTGATTACGCGGAAGCTGAGGTAGCGTTTGTTGAGCATAATGATTTTGTATTCGTCCGCCCCATCGTCCATTGCATGTCTGAATTTGGAAAGAATTTAATCAAATTGTTTAATTTCTTTAATTTTAGCTTACCTGAGGGCAAGAAGTGATGGTGTGCCAGAGAGGACCGCGTTTCTCCAAACAGGATCTCCTTCGTGCGAGATGACCAGTTTCTTTTCATGGTTGGCAATCGCAATGTGCAGCATCTCATCATGCTCGTATTCATCAGGTGACATGAAATGATCCTTTTTTCCCAAGAATTATTTCAAACTCGCTTTTAAATAAAATTTCAAACTTACTTGATGTAATTTGAGCGACATTCTGACTCCCGGAGCAATCACTTTCTTCAGCAAATCCATGTCTGTGAAAATCCATTCGTCCCTTGGAGACGTTATTCTAAAATCTCCTTTAAACAATGCGTGCAGCCCATAAAGGAAAAACTCCACACTGGTAATTATAAATTTTAGACTACATTCCACATTAATTTGAAACAATTTTACCTGGAGACGGAATTGTGCGATGCGGAACCTAAAGTTCTGCGGCCAATCAAACTCAGAGCAAAGCAAAGTGATACAACTGCTGAGTCTCTGTGAGTATCAATAATCTAAAAAAACAAAAGAATTATAAATATCATTAATAACGAATATTTCATTTTTTAAACCTTTTCTCTCTTTCTTCCACAATATTGGATCCACTTCAAATAAACGTTGCAAAAACTATTTCTTGTGATTCCTGACGCCACATAGTCGTAGTCATCATCAATGTTCATATTAAAAACAGGATCCAAGTCTACAAAATGCCTGTTTGACATGTCCTTCAGGGTATCTAAGATAGAAGGAGACTGCAACCATTCCTCCAGTCTTGTTGACTTCATAGCATAATAAATAATACTCTGAAAATAGTCATTGGCAATAAAATAAAGAGTAAAAATGGGATTAAAAATTCTACCTTAACATAATAGCTGATCAAAACTTTTCTGAAGTCAAAAACTTGGAGCATGGACACAACACTGTTGTCAGAAATGCTGTAACCTTCCAAGACGTATTTTGTGGCAGTCACTTCCCACGCCAACCACCTTTGGCTAAATGCAGCATTGATGCTGAGCATGTTCGGAAAGTGTCCTGGCTCACAACAGCAGCAACCTGAATAAAATCAAAGTGAGTGAAATTCTATAAAATTCAAACTTTCATTTGACCATCATCTTCTTCAACTCCTTCGGAAATTGCCTCCACTTCTCTTTGCTGGCAATAGGTGCCGCGGAACTCCAGGCCTCGCATTTGGAAAGTGGCAAGTCCATTGCCCATTTCAACAATGTGAACGAGACAGTTCAGGTAGTCGGAAGCCAAGACAAAGCAGTCACCTTGGGACACAGGACCCCAGCGGCCTAGTTGCAAATCTCCGTACAGGGAATGCTGGAGAGAGCGAGTGAGGTGTTCGTAGAAAATGGAGTTCAAATTATTATCGTCGGCTCCGAGATTTCTTTCCAAGTGGGAGGAAAGTCTGGTGTTTGAATGGTCCACCCTTCTTGTGTTGTAGTCCCTTTCCCAGAACTTGATGGGCCTGACGTAGGAAGCGAGGAAAATGGCGCTTCCGAGGAAGGGGTTGAGAGGCGCCGAGAGGGCGGCCGAGATGAACGCCTGGAGGAAGAGCATGGCCGAGTGTGGCACGCTGAAGGGCTGGGCAAAGGCGTGGAAGGGCGAGCCCCATGTGATTTGCCACGGCGCAATGTAGGTGATGACAAACTTGACCTTGAGCATGCACTCGTACATTTTCTGGAAGAGAATGCTCATGACGCAGTAGTCGACGAGGAAGGTCTCCGAGATGCTGTAGTAGTCGATTTTAAAGAAGAGGATTGTAAAGACCAGCACGAGGTACTGCTGCGGGGTGTTGGAGAAGGAGCTGCGCAGACATTTCAGTCCGCAAACTGATACAACCAGGGGACTGACATAAGGACCAAACTTTGTCAGAAGAAGAGGGGCGCTCTCGGTAATTGCACCGAGGAAAAGAACAGGGTAGAGAAAGTTCTTCTCCAGGAAGCACAGCACTACGTAGAGTTTCTCAAACCACATCACTTTGGCAGCCTCCCTCACCTACAAACAAAAAATAATTGATTAAAGAAAACTAAACAATAATGATTATGATAATTAATGTTAAAAATTAGAACTTATTTAAATGTGTGTTTTTTTTTAAATTTATATGAATTTTGAATCTAAATGGATAGAATTCTGTGAATTTCATTGATTTTACCTCAAACTGGTTGTATTCATGCGTCTTGAAGATTGGGTTTGAAAAGCAGAGCCATGGGAGCTGTTTCCTCAGCTGCGGCATGATGTAGTGAAGCAGGAAACCAATCACAGACACCAAGGCCCACATGATGTAGTTCATCTCGGGCTTGAGGGCCGTAAAAACCGTGCTGCAGTGGATGCCGAAAACAAACACTGCCGTAATTGGGCAAACAATCAAGTCGGACCTCAGCCTTGAGATGACAGTTCTCTTCAGTTTTGCTGGAAGTGGGTCTACAGGTTCCTCGGAACGCTCTGGGTTTTGCTCACTCGCAGATACTGTCCTTTCAGTCTTTGGTCTCGCGCAGTCTTCCTCAGGCCACAAGTTGTTCCTGATGAGGTGCCAGATGAAGGTCGGGTCGCTTGCACAGCGACTCAGGTGGTAGGAAACTGACACCAACAGGCCGCAAAAGATGGAAAACAGAAAGTGTTGCGACTTCTTCGGCTGAGTGAGGCCTCCGTACGCAAAACTGTACAAAAATGCAACAGCCAACATGCTTCTGATGACGCAGTAAAAAGCGGCCGTCAGACTGGAGGTTGCGTTGCCGCCGAAAATGTGCATGTCGACCTGCTCGAGAAGGTACATGGCAAAGGTGTTGATTTGAGGAAGGAGACCAAAACTGAAAATGATGGGGAAGCAGAGAAGGAACCACATTAGGCCGTCTCTTAGGTAGTGCACAACATTGTTCGGAGAAAAGTGCACACCGTAGAAATCTGTGTAGTCAGGGTCTAGGTACGGCAGGGAGGCGTCAAAGATGAGAATCAGGGTGGCCACTAGACAGAAGTAGACGGGACGGCTGAAGGCGACGACGCGATTGTGGCCGTGAGTGGGCGACGCAGCATCGGGCTGGACACTTTTCAGCAGCGAATACTGACAACTTGCGACCACAAAGCAGAAGATGAAAACCAGGGCGTCTTCAAGGAAGCCTTTGCTCATCAGGAGAGCGCCGAGAACACCAACCATGACGGCTAGAAAAACCGACAGGGCACTTTCCCAAATTGTTAAGTTTCGGTCGAGGAGGGCTAGAAGGGCAAGTCTATCAAAGGTGACTTTGATCTCCTTCCAGGGCAAGATTTTGAAGTTGTAGTAATGCTTTGTTTTCTCAGGTTGGATGTCTGGCAAGGTGAGTTTCGGTCGGATGATTCTGTCTGTGTCTAAATCACCCTGAGAACTTTGAGGTCCAGTGCCAAGGGAGACGCTGTTTGTTGAGTTTCTGTGACTGTAGCGACCTGGTGTGGAACCCAGAGTCAGCAGGTCAAGATTTGGAGAGTTTCCTGCCGCGCCTAAGCCTTCCACTAATGTTCGAAGGTAGCTGCTCGACTGACCTATGCTCTCAGTCCGCATCAAAGGGGGATCTCCACTTTTTAAAATGCCTCTGAAGAGTTTCTGGGTGGCTGTGCCATTGCCCTTCTCGTCAAAGGTGTAGGTGCACAAGTTTCCCAGCTCATCCTGAAATTATTCAAAATGAAGGAATAAAAAACAAGGTAACTTTTGAGACGTGGCAGATATACTTTTATACAGAAATAACTTTGTGATGTGTGCAAAACTATAATATAAAAATCTCTCTTGACTTTGTTTTGAAGAAAATTGTTTCTTCTAAAGCAAATCTAGATAGAAAAAATTATGTTGAAATAAATTACAGAGGAATCTGGCATGTAAAAATCATAGCAGATTTGTACCTGAAACCAGTGAGTGGCTCCTTCTGCTGTGTCTTCGAACGAAGATGCCAAGTAAGTGCCTGGGGGAATTATCACAGAACCGAAAGCAGAAAGAGCGATTTGGGGACGAGCTGTGGAAGTGGATGGAATTGGTTCACTAGGCCTCGAGTGTCTCTGGTGAGACTGTGATGTTCCTGTCCTGATGGCCATGCCACCCTGAAGGCCGTGCAGTTGTCTGTGGGCTCTGGAAGTGCGTTTCATCCTCCTATGTCTCCTTCGACTGGGCAGACCTTCGTCTGGACTCAAGTCTGCGTAGCTGAAGTAAAAAGTAATTTTAATTTTACTGAAATGCAATCTCAAACAATCTTACGAATTTAGGCAGGCATTCAAAGGTAGGCAACCAGGTGAGCTCCCTCTATGGTAGGTGAATTCTGTATTTCCGTAAGTGACCCCAGATCTGCTGCAGGCGTGATTTCCGTGCGTTCTTCTCCTAGTGTGGCCACTTTGGAGGCCTCGAGGAGGATGACCAGTAGGACACAGCAGTTCCAACCCTTCCGTAGTGGGATCAAGAGGAGGGGAGCTCCTAGATGGCTCTTCTGCTATCCGAGGAACAAAAGTGAGGATTTTGCTGGGGCCGGGACACATGATGTCTATTTCTCCTGTAAAAGGAATATCAGAAAAAATTAAAAATGAAGAAGAAAAAAATTAAAAAAGATTTTACCGGAAATATTAGACAAAGCATTGCTCCTGTTGTGATGGTGGTGGTAATACCTATGCGGGGCATTTGAATGTCTTTTGGGGATAGCGCCCTGACTTTTGGGCGTTCTGGGCGAACTTGGGTACGACTCAGGTAGCAACCTGGCAGCCTCCTGCTGACTCACACTCAATGTGGTTGTGGACGAACTGCCAGAGTCGCTGCCCTCTTTGGATTGGGGGTTTTCGGGTTTTGGGGGGACGTCTTCAAACAACCAGTTCAAGTTCAACATGCTCTGGGGACTAGGACGCTCTTCTAATGCCGGATCTCTTTTCTGGCTGGGACTCTCTGCAATTATTTTTATAATTAATTTATCATTATCAAAATTACTTCACAGCTCAAGATGATTTTGAAATAAATTTGAGACCTACCTTCAGCTATCCACACAGATAAAGAGTTTTTGGGCAACCCTGAATTATCGTCATCATCACTGCCGACGCTAGGACTACTCGAAACATCACCATCACTAGTTGCAGGGGACTGAGACCTCCTGAGTTGGCTCTTGATGGCCACTTTCCTCTCTCTCAACTTGTGCAGCGACTCTCTAGACGGCTTGTGGTCCTCAGTGAGTTTAGGAAAGTGCTCTGGCAGTGATTTTCTAGGTTGTGCGTTTATTTTGTCAAGGGGCCCAGAGATGATTGGGAAGCGAAGCATCGAGTAGCTTCCGCTACCGTGTGTATCCCTCTCCATTAATTCCTATGAAAATATTGACATAAAAGTATGAAATTGGTTTTCATTTGTTAAAATTACAGGCAAAGTGAAGGCACTGCGAACTCTCAAGGAGGAAGTGGACGGCGTCTGATTTGACGACTGCTCTAACCCACGACTCAACTCGGACTGTCTTTCACCACTTTGCGAGTGGCCAGTTCTTGAGTCTATTGTGCTTGTTGGCGAGGGAGGGTCTAGAGAGCTGTGACGAGTGTTTTGCTGCTTCCAATAGAGTAGCCCTAATAAAATATAATCCTCATTAAAAAATATTATATTGGGTGGTTTCACGATAGCTTTAACTCCAATTGGCAAAATTTTTTCATGAAAGGACCCCATCCCGATTTTCACATATGTTGTTGGGGTAGATAAGACGCTGTGCTCCCTAAAATTTCACTTAAAAATTTTGGGTGCTTTTCCGGGAAATCAAATTTCCAAAAAAACAGAAAATGTTGAATATCTTTGCTTCTTTTAAGAAATTAAGTATGCTCTTATCAATTCTAGATGTAACTTTTTGTGCCCGACAACTTTTCTGTTGACAACTTTTGTGTAGGTCAAAGGTCAAGGTCACTAAATTGCAAATTTCACTTTCTAACGCAATTTTCGCAAAGATGCACCCCTCAGATATTTTTTGGGGTATAGGAAAAAATGTAGCCCCAGGTGTGTAGAACAGAAACCTTGATTTTCAAAATGGGGTTATTTTTTGTTTTTGAGATATTTATAAATGAATTTAAAAAAGTACTGTTTTTCGATGCAAAAAAGCTATTTTCGACTGCTTTTTAAAATTCATTTAAATATATCTCAAAAACAAAAAATAACCCCATTTTGAAAATCAAGGATTTTGTTCTACACACTTGGGGCTACATTTTTTCCTATACCCCGGAAAACATTTGACGGGTGCATCTTTGCGAAAATTGCGTCAAAAAGTGAAATTTGCAATTTAGTGACCTTGACCTTTGACCTACACAGAAGTTGTCAACAGAAAAGTTGTCGGGCATAAAAAGTTACGTCTAGAACTGAAGAGAGCATACTAAATTTCTAAATAGAAGCAAAGATATTCAACATTTTCTGTTTCTTATCGCATTTTTTCGGAAATCTGATTTCCCGGAAAAGTACTCAAAATTTTCAAGTGAAATTTTACGGAGATTATTTTCTCACCTAGCCCAACAACATACGTGAAAATCAAGATCGGTCATTTTTTGGCCAATTTGAGTAAAATCTATCGTGAAACCACCTATTAACATAATTTTTATCTTGCCAAAAAGAGAATATTTTTTTCATACATGGGCAGAGCGCACTTTGCGCTCTGCGATCTGCGCTCGCGCTCTGCGCTCATGAGCGCGAGCGCAGAGCGCGATCGCACGATTTTCAAAATCGTGAGCGCGAGCGCAGAGCGCGAGCGCATTGGACGCTGAGCGCAGCGCTCAATTGCGCTCATTTTGCGCTCAAACCAAAAGTAAAAATTCCCGAATTTGATCAAAAATTGTAATGAAAAACAGTGTTTTTATCGTTTTTATACCAAAAACTTCAAAACTGATCCCAATTTTGGTGATTTAACTTCAACTTTATCTTTTCCAATTGCCGATGTATTTTTTGTTATATTAAAAAATTGTCTAAAAAGTCGCACTTTTTCTTCGGATAAAAATATTTTTGAGCGCAACGCGTGAGCGCAAGACTTTTAAAAAATTTGAGCGCGAGCGCAGAGCGCGAGCGCAACATTTTCAAAATCTTGATCGCGAGCGCAGAGCGCGAGCGCACCGTTGCCAGTGATCGCGAGCGCGAGCGCAAAATTGTTGAGCGCACCCATGTATGATTTTTTTTTACAAATAAATAAATAAAAGAGCATTTTTTTTCAATACCTTTGTCAGGAGGCATCTTTGCATCACCACCACCATCAGGCAGCTCCAGAGAGCCTGTTCCTTTCATGGTGACAGGCATAGAAGCAGTGGAAGCAGAGGGAATGCAGAATAGGTTGTATGTTCTGCTAGAAACATTAGAGTATCGTCTCCCATGCTGCCCTGTTTGCTCATTCACAGCCTCCTCCTCATTCTGCATCTTTGTTTCCTCCTCCTCGACGAGGACACTCTCACTACCACCGACGCCACAAGTTGATGGACGGCCTTCTTCAAAAATTGGCACCGCCACGTACGGCTCTCTTCTTGTTCGTTTTGCATTTTCTAAGTTAAAGGAAAAAAATATTACTAATGGAAAATTTATGAATAAAAACTAATACCACTTATTTTCTGACACAAATTCTCAGCCTCTGCTTGGGAGGGTTGTTCCGACTGGACGGCCACGTTCTTCAGTTTCGGTCTCTGAGACAAATCCTCACTACTTTCCGAACTGTTCTTTCGATGCACATCCACCTTGAGATCTGCAGATCCTTTATTAAAAACTCTTAATGAAAATAAAAATCATATTTCTTCGAACCAATGGTGCTGCCATGTTTGATGTCATCGCTGATCACAGCCGCACCACTTTCTATACTGTCAGCGTCCGTGGGAATCTGGGCAGGCTCACCAATGGAGTTTCTCGAGCTGCTGGCCGGCGGCGGTGTCCCGTTCCTCTGCTTCGGCTCAATGACCGTGAGTTCAATGCCCTCAGACTCTCTGCAAAAATATTTTTTTTTCAGAATTTTTCTTTTTTTGGCAGGAAGTAGAATTAACAACAAAACGTATACATACTTTTGATCTTTGCCATTGTCTCCCTTGGACCTCGACTTGTTTAGTTCACTTCTGGCGTCGCTCTTGGACACTGCCTGGATGCACTCGGACGTGTCGAACATGTGGTGCAGACCGTAGTTGGCCGCTTTGAGAGCACTGAAGAGGCCTCCGACCGACACGCAGTACAGCACCCACGCGTAGATCCCGACAGGGGCACACTGCAAGGTCAATTGACATTAAAATCAAAATTAAAAAATTTTTATAATTTTTTTTACCAAGTACAACGTGAAAGGAAGACATAGCAACAGCAGCCAGACGTAAAGGTGGAAAGTGTTACAAAAATTGTTCTGATGTGGATCGTAGAACCAGCCGCCTGTCAGCGAAGCCCACACTCCCTGACGCAAAATCTCAAGCGTTTGTGATCCCATCGTTCGTCTGCTTTTTCATCTTCACGAAAACTGGAATCCAGCAGACCGATCTCATTTTCCTTCTCGCAGACGAAACATGTTTACCCTCTGAATCAATGTATTTTTCTTTTGGCCATTTTGGTATTTTGCAGCCACGTGACTCAGACAGACCAATCAGAGCCCGGGATTTTCAACGTCACACCCTGTTTTGGGTCAAAAGTCTAGCGCCAACATTCATAAGTTTGGGTTTTATTTTCTGGGAATTCATGTGTTTTCAAGCAAAAATACGAGTAGCAAACATTTAAAAGACGTAAATTTGATTTAATATCAATTTATAAGGTGAGTTTCTGGCATAAATTTCTACTCAAAATTTCATGTTTTCTCTTTTGTCAGGGTGGCCCACCTGCTGAACATCCAGTTGTCTCAATAATGGCGGAGGTTTAGTGTGTTGATGGACAGTGGGCTCTGTCATATTTGCATCGTTTCGCGGGTTGAACGATGGTAACAGGGTCGTGTCGGGCCGAAACAGTAGACGTAAGAGTGCACCGAGTTGAATGAGTGTTTCAGGGGCCGCCTTGAGAGTCTGATCTGGGTCGCAGCCCGTGCTGAGAGCAGTGTGCGGAGGAACGCAGCCGCCCGGGGGGCATCCGTGAGCGCCGGATTCGGTCGGTTGATGACTGCGGGCGGCCGGCCGAGCGAGAGTAGCCGCCGAATCGAATGCCTCCGCTGCTGAGTTCGATGGAACACGCTGCTCGCACACCGGCCGCCGGCGGGACGCACAACCTGAGCAACGGCCGCAAGGATGCGGCGGACGCCGCCACCTCGCCGAGCTCCATCAGCTGCATCAGCATCGGCCAGCAGACCAGTCCGCTCAAGAACAAGCCGCCCCCGGCCGCCCCCAGGAGACATGACGCGGCCACCCTGGCCAAGAGCGCCTCCTTCTGGACCGCCATGTACGACTACGAGGCCATGGGCGAGGACGAGTTGAGCCTTCGGAAGGGCGAGGTGGTCGAGGTGCTGTCCAAGGACTCGAAGATCTCCGGCGACGAGGGCTGGTGGATTGGCAAGATCGAGGGCAAGGTCGGCATCTTCCCGTCCAACTTCGTCACCAACCAGTACCTCGAGGAACCAAACGAAATCGACTTCAACGACCTGACCCTGGAAGAGGTCATCGGGGTCGGCGGCTTCGGCAAGGTCTACCGCGCCTACCTCATCAATGAGGAAGTTGCCGTCAAGGCGGCCAGACAGGGCCCTGAGGAGGACCCGAGCGTCACCCTCGAGAGTGTCCGGCAGGAGGCGAAACTCTTCTGGATGCTGCAGCACGAGAACATCGTGTCCCTCAAGGGTGTCTGCCTCACGCCGCCCAACCTGTGCCTCGTCATGGAGTACGCCAGGGGCGGGCCCCTCAACAGGGTGCTCCAGGGCCGCAAGATCAGGCCCAACGTGCTCGTCGACTGGGCCATCCAGATCGCCCGTGGCATGAACTATCTGCACAACGAAGCGCAGATCAACATTATACATCGAGATCTCAAGTCCTCTAATGGTGAGTTCTGGATCAATTTCATGCTTTTTTAATTTTTATTAATAAATCGGTTCAGGCAGGCGTTTTTATTACATGAAATTTTGCAGTAAAACTGAAATTGCTTTGAAGCAGGATTTTATTTTTATTAAGTCTCTTGAAATTCAAAATATGGAAATTTATTTTGAAATAAGTTGGTACTGTCGTGAGAATTTTATTTCTCCTACCAAATTGTTGTTTGAAGAAATTTAGAAAATTTGAATAAATTAAAAACGCTGCATTTAAATGGTTTCAATTTCATGCAATTTGTCTTTATTGTTTTGAAAGTCACAATTATTATTTGTATTGCTTTCATTGCAAAGTTTGAAATCTCAAATTTTTATAAATTATTATCAACCTCATTTTTATTTACCTTTTTTTCGTTCTGAATTAGTTTTCTTTGCAAAATGAATTTCAATATTGGACATATTTGTTGTGCCTTAAAATTTGAATAAAAATATGGATTTTCTCAAATGAAATCGTACATCTCAATTTTTTGGTAGAGGAGAAAGTTCCTCTGAAAAGAAATTACGTTGATTGTCAGAATTTGGCTTTTGATTTTGAACATTATTGAACATTGAAACATTTACGGAGCTCAACGAAAGTTGTCAATCAAAAGAGAGGAAAAAACGGCGTTGCCTCAAAAGTGTGCATCTCGTTTTGAGCAACAGAAACGTCAGAGAGCAGCGTTGTAAAACAGAAAGACTTGCTTTGTATGTGAGGTCACTTGTCGTTTGCCAGTCGTGACTGGCATTTTAATTTCGCCTTAAAAATTCACCCGGCTGCTCTGGAGAAAAAGAAAAGAACACTTCAAAATTTATTTAAAAATAAAACACAAAAATTAAAAAGTTTATAATGATTTTTTAATAATTTAAAAAAAGTATTTTTTAACTCGAAGATGTGTTTGATTTATTTTTTAGTTTTTTTATTGCCATTTTTTGCAACAAATTTTCTTCTAGTTCACGAGTTGAGTCCAATTCAGAGCAGCTCAAGCAATTGGCGCGATAAGCATCGGAAATGAGCGCTCCGATGGCCTCCGAATCACAAGTCGGCCTACGTGACTGCTGATGTAATAATTTTCGCGCACCGTGTCTCGCCAACGGAGACGTCACTCATCGTGTGTCTTTTTGTCGAGAAACTGCGCTTTGTTATCGCACTCGTTGTTAGAAAAACAGATAAGAAGCGCACGGACGGTTTAATAAGTCGCTCTAGCATCTCTTGACATCATCGACACTCTGATAAAAAAAAAACAAAGGAAACAAAGGCGGAAAGCTGCGCGAACCACTTCCAAATATCAATTTGTGGATGCCGAATTGCGGTTTTCCGCGAGATGTTATGAAAGTTGTCTGTTTTCTTTTGGTCTCTTAGTGGGTCAATAAAAATACCAAAATAAACGGAAGCTTTTTTAGAAAAAAAAAAATAAATTATAATTTCTAATTTCTCTGAATAAAAAAAAACTATATTTTTATCGTAGTTTTTTCAATTGAATTTATTTGAAAAAATAATATGAATTAAATTTGAAAATAGTCAAATGAAATGAAATTGTATTTAAATTCTTTTGGCTTTTGTGAGCGGATTAAAATTGGCACGTGACCCACCCGAGTGACTTTGGAGCTGAGACCAAAAAATCCTCCTCGTTGTCCGCACCTGCCCAAGCGCGATCTTTGTGCACCGAAATTTGCATCGGTGGGCGGCGATAATGATGTTGTCGACGGCATGCGAATGAAAAGTGAAAGGAAACGCCGAACTTGATTGGCACCGCCGCATAAGTAAAATTAATTATCGCACGGACGTGCATCTTCCTACAAAAAGGTTTTGGCCATCCTGAAACGTACGGTGTGTCGCCTTTCGCGGCCCGCCAAGGCCGTCTCTCGGCGGCGGAAACTTTGCTCTGCGTGCGCCAAATGGAGGAAAGAAAACATATTATAAAATGGTAAGAGAAAGAGAGAAACAATAACGCAAACCAGCCTCTTTTGCGCTTGAGAATCGCACTGCGCAAAAATGAGAATTAAAAAAGAATGGAATGAATAAATAAGAGATACCAAGTGGAGAAAACTGTTAAATTTGGTTTTTTAAATATCGTGAATTTAAAAATTGAATGAAAAATAAACAAGAAAATCATGGAGAAATGATTTTTTTTATTATTTTACTGAAATCTTAATATACAATGCTTTTGAAATTATCCTGTTTAATTTTTTTTTTTAAATTTCTATATTTACTGAAGAAAAGAAGTTAATGAAGTAATTCATAATTGAAAATGCGTGATTTCATTTACTTTATTATTTATTTTTAATGTCTTTCTTGCTAACTTTATACGCTTTATACCTTTATTTGAAATAAATGAAAATCGTAAAATTTCTATTCGCTGATGCAACCGCCGAGCTTTTATGTCGAACTCGGGCAGATTGGCATAATAACTGTCGCTTAAAAGCCGCTCGTAAATTTGAGCCGCGAACGACCTGCCCCCGATTATGACAACATTCAAATAAGCTCTCAATAAAACTGCTAATCCCGAATGATCGGCATTAATAAACGCAGCCGTTTTTCTCGACTCAATCACTGCCCTCGATCGAATCTCATTGTTTTTTCTTTGGCGATGTACAAAAGTTTCGCAGAGAAAAATTTCTGCCGTAATAATAAAAGGAGGCCCTCGGCGTTTTCCGAGCGAAGAAAAGGAGCAGGTTTTTGAGAGAGAACACGAAGCTCGCAAAAGTGCACGTGTGCGTATGTTTTTTATACGGCATTTATTTGCGTCTCTCTTCATTATCAACTTTGAGAAGCACGCAAACCAAATTGCGCACTTTCGTGATAAAATGAATCCTTCGGTGGGAAAAATTGCTACACTGAGAAGTCAAAAAATAGTCTGGTTGCTTAAAGATCTCAAAAATTAAAAGGGAAAATGGACTGAAATGATTTCCTTTTTTGTTGATGTCTTTTTAAATTAAAAAAAAAAAATAGTAATAAAAATATATAATTTTTTAGTTTAATTTGGTTATTTTATTTTATCAACAATTTATCTTCAATATTTTTTATTAAATTTAAGTTTTTATCGTAATGTGCTGCAATATTTTTATTCAATAATTGAAAATGAATGGGAATATTTTCAATTTTTTCTTCTTAAATTCCAGCAAAATTTCTCCCAGCTTCTCTAAAATTGAGAATTAGAAATTATAATAAAAAGACTACATATTTGGATTTTGCCCACGGCAACGAAAAATAAATTTTACCCTTTTTTTAATTTTTTTTTTCAGAAAATTTCCTATTTTTAATTTATCTAAACCTGAAACCTTTAAACAATCTCTTTCTGTACATTTCTTAAATCAATTTTAAAAATGAATTATTCTCGTTTCGTTCACCCTTTTAGTGGAAAGAGTTGCAGTCTGGCTGTCTGTCTGAATTTTTACCGTTGTCGGCGCCGCATCCTTAAGCTTCGTCGGTCCTCTATGGTTTTATGGCCTGTGGCATCGTAATTCGTTGCTGCAAAATAATAAAATATATATGTAAACTGCACGGCTGGTGTCGATGTGTTTTCGTCGTAAAAACCGCCAGCCGCGTTTTAATTTGTTTGCTCTTGCATCCATTTTCCTTATCCATAAAAAAAAATATAGAAAGAGCAATTTTCATCATCGCAAAAAAGCCTCGGGCTGCAATTTTCTTCTCCCGAGACGGCGCGAAAATGAAAACGAACCGCGCCTCGAGCCAAACCGCGCCGCGAGATGCGACAATTTATTTATTTATTATTATATTATCGCTCACTCGGTTCGATTTTCATTCCCACGCAGACCAGTTTTCCGTGCTGAATTTTATTTTGTGTGTATAAATAAAATAATACGCAAACACCGACCGAGTTTGGCCGCTTCTTGACCAAAATTAATGGCACACGTGCAGAACTGGAGGAGAGTAACGCCCCGAGCAGGAAAACCGACCTCGCCGAGTAGAAAAAGTACATATAAGGTGTCGCTCGCTAATTTTCAGCCGAGTGCGATATTTCGAGCCTCCCGCGACCTTTATTTTCTGCGAAGGAGTTCCAATCACCGAAAACGGTTAATGCAAATCGTTGAAAGTTCATTGGGCTTAAATTAAATACAAATTTTTTGAAAATATTGCAATGAATGAAGCTCTTGACCAGAAAGATTTCAGTCAAGGAAATTTAAAAATGGAAATAATGAAGTAAATCTTATCAAAAGGATCAATACTTTTCAAAGTGAATGCATTATTTTTAATTATTATTGATAATCTACCTGGAGTATTGATTAACTTTATATTTAAAACAGTTTTTTTTACTTAAAAATTATAAGATGTTAATTTATTTTGTTAAATATGTATATTAAATTTAAATTTTTTATTTGCAGTTTTATTATTAATATTTTATTTAAATGGCGTATTTTTTATATTTCGAATTTATTTTAATTATTAAATTAATAAATGTTTTACTCTCTTAAATAATATTTTTGATTTATTATGCACTTATTAGGTTCGAAATTTTTTATTTTTAATTAAATAGATTTCTATTAATTCATTTCATGAAGTGTCATGAAATAATTTTTGCTAACAAAAATGTTTTATTGTGGAAGAATTGGGAAGAATCAATTTCTTATATTTTTCAAAAGGACCAATTAATAGCAAATTATTAACGACTTATTGGCACCTAAATCAGAATCTAAATCTGAAACTTGTATAATTAATTATCCATCGAAACCCACACGTTGTTGCATCTGAACATGTTGCGTGCGTTAATTTCTAATTCCCGATGCTAATGGAGGTCAAAAGTCTCGCTTGCAAAACCGATGCATTCTTTTTTTATTACATTATGCACCGGCGTCGACGATTGTTGCCGCAACAAAGACAACTCCTCCTTCTCCCTCCTCCGTTGCCGCCCGAGAGACAAATAGCAACAGCGTGTTTATTTTTTTCCTTCTGCCATTCAGATTCGCACCCATAATGTAACGCGTGGATTTATTACTATCGAGTGCATGCACGGCCGAGACAAACAGGTCTGCACGACGTAATGGCCGAGATAAAAAAAAAATGTACATAAAATGAAATCGGGCAGTGTGAAAATGATATTTTGAAATCCCACGCCGATACACGTGGGAAGACGAAAGGAAAAAGAAACATTCACGCAGGAATAGAAGAAAGAAATGAAGAAAATTATAAGGTCAGTGATTGTTTATTTGCAATAAATCGATGTTGTTCTTAAGATGAAATATCAAACAAATTCCATAAAATATTCTAATAAATTTTGATGCATTAATTAATTTTTATTGAAAATTTAATAAAACATGAATTTAATGCAATTTTATCCAGTTTAAAATAATAAATTTATAAGATTTTTATATAATAATTCAAACTAGACAAATTATTTTAATATTTTAGCCAACAGAAAATTTGATAAACTCTAAATTGCTTTACTTTTTTTGTAATCTAGATTTGAGCAGAGTTTTGATTACTATTTATAACTATTTAACAATTTCAAAAATAACAAACATCAATAATATCAATATTGAATAAAAATAATCATCTTTTGATCATATTTATGAAGTCGTGGGCTTTCATCGGAAGCCTCCTCTAGCAACTTTAGAACCACTGGTTTTCCCCTTTTTTTCTTTTCGAATAGACCAATAAATCAGCCGGGAACAAAACAAGCACTTCTTTTCGTTCTCGTTAATCACTCGCTTCGCACATATAAATATCATTTTCGCCGTTCGCGCCGCTGAAAGACTCTTTGTAAACCGCGGTGGAGCGCGTGTTGATGCATCAGGCGTGCTGCTGATAAGTTGGCACTCGAGTCACGTCGCCAGACCAGGCCACGGCCAACCTAGCCTAGCCACATCCTCCTACAAGTCTCCATTAAAAAATATTTTTATAAAAATTAAGATTTTAATGAAAATTTTTAAGTGGAATTACTGAAATTTACTATTAAAAGACAGTTCATAAATAATATTATATTTTAATTTATTTTATTTTTTACAATAAAAATTTTCTGTATAAATTTCTGTAAAATAAATTGTAAAAAGAGTGAAGGAATTACGCGTTTTGATGAAATTTTATACAACTTGTTACGTTCTGTGGCATTTTTTAGTGGAATGATGTTTTTCTTTAGAGATAAGATTCCTGCAGATCGTAAATTCTTATGAAACTGAAAACGGTGAGAGATCAATCAACACTTCAGACAAAGCTAGTTTGTGGGGGAGAAAATCTAATCTTAATTTCATCTATCTCGGGCATATCACTTGAAAGGTTCTCTTGTAATCTCAAGTAGCAGAAGAACACCTGGTTGTACTGAAATCAACTTTTACCAAAAACTATGGTTCATTTAAAATTATGTTAAAAATTCCCAATTATTTCAAGTCAATCAAGTGATGAAATTTATACCTTTTTTAAGAATTTCACAATAATTAAAATCGATATAAAAAAACTTTTCAATGATCTCAACCGGATCTGAAGAAGCAAATGGTGAATCGAAAGATGCCTGGTTTATTTATTTCTTTACTTAATTAATCAGGCATCTAATCAGATTTATGTCAAGAGAGATAAAATCTAACGATTCTCCACACCGTTGAGTTTCTGTAAATTCCAGCCGATGAAAACAAGTTCTGCGATGTATTCAAACCAATTTCTAAAATCCGCGAGAGTTCTCGTGTGGTCCTGCTCCTCACTTATTTTTTGCCTCCGCCCACGTGACGCGGTTTGCAAAACGGAGCATGTGGCTCGCACGCCGTTCTTCTTGACTCACGTCCGTTTTGTACACATTGTCGTGCGTGTGGCTTGTGGCACCCCCTGATTAATCCATCTCTGACGCTACGACGAAATGTGAAATTAAAAAAAATCCAGCTCCAACAAAGCCAAACTTGATAAGGGAACCCCTTATTGATCCTAAATTCAAACATCGTATATTTTTTAAATAATTTTTCAGAACAGAAATTTTCATTTGTCTGAAAGTGAATCGCTCAGAAATTCATTTATTAGAAAATAACAATTAAAATTGAAGTTACACAAGGTAATTTTTAGTAATTATTATATTTTCAAATCAAGTTTACAAGAAAGTTGATTGAAATTTCATTGTTTTCCAATAATTGTCGAAAATTAGTTCCTATTTGCAGTAATAATTGCTGAAACCTGTTTTATGATAAGTGAATTTCTGATCAATAATGGCGACCCTTTGATTAATTTAACTGCAGGGGATTTAACTTTTATGGAAACATTTAGGTCCAAATTAAAAAGGCTGGCATTTAATCTTTCATCTGCATTATAATTAACCGTCTTGTGAAGTAATTGCGGCCGGCGGTGGATAATTAACTCGCAATTATCGCGTTCAATCAAAACGAGCAGAGAAGGGAAATATAATATAATTTTTGCCACCCATTCGTCCAGTGTGCGGTAATTTGCGTCGTGCGCGGCGCCTAAGTGCGAAATTGAATGTAGGTGTGACGAAAAGTGGCCGAACGAGAAGTTGTGCCCACACTTTTGCTTTTGGGAGTAGCCGCTCTCTTTCATAATGACAAGAAGCCCGGATTTGCGCTAATAATGACATAATTGAGCAGTGAAATTAGCCAGAGTGACCGGTTGAAGCTTGAAAGTTATGCAGTTTTTAATTTTATTTCTGTTACTTCAAAAAGTTCAAAACTATTGCCGCTTTCTTGATGTGATTTTATCACCAGAATTTTAAGCATAAAAGTTGCAAATAACAAAAATCCTTTTTTTTGCCATGTCATTTGTTTAAAAATAGACAAATTTTTTTTTAAGATGTATTAAAAATTAATTTTTTTATTATGCAGAAGTATCTAATTAAAATATCATTTTTTTTTCAAGTTTCTATTGGAAATTGTGCAAAATAAGGCCAAATAGTAACAAAATTGGAACAAAAATGAAAAGACTGCAAACAAATTTAAAATAAGAAAAAGTTGTAAAATCTAAAAACGTTCTTTTCTTATCTCAGTGTAGCCCAAGAATCTTTGTGTTTTTACGAACAGAATTAAACAATTTACTAAAATATGTTTTGATTTTTGATATTTAAATTTTGGGGAACTTTAATAAAAAAATATCCAACAATCGAGTGCTTTACTTTTTTTTTATTCTTTTTTTAATATATATGCTACTCAATTTCTATATTCAATCAGTTTCGGGAGTAAAAGTGAAAAGAAAGGAGGCAATGATTAAACTTGTAATTTAATTCAATTTTTAATAGGAAATTGCAATAAAAATGACATAAATACAAACTTAAATGTCAGGGATTGACGTGTTAAAAATATGTTGTGTCAGATGGAATAGTCAACATTCTACAAAATACATTTTCAACTTTTTAATCTGATGATTTGTGAGTGAAAAGAGCAGTGAAACTCATCCCGACAAAAATCTCGGCAGCTCTCTTGCATTTAAATGCGTTCGAAAAGCAGAAGATGGACGTTGGTCTACTTCTGGTGGACAGGCAAGCTACCCTAGATGGCCTTTAGTCGCGCAGCTGAGGAATAATTAGAAAACGCTCTCGAGTGAAATTCATCATTCGTGCGAATGAAGTTGTTTGGGAAAAATAAAATTGGTTTTATTTTTAGCGGCGCCGACCGATTGATCTTGGAATGGACCATTATCATGCAAATGCAAAAGCTTGTAGCAATAATTATTTCGAGGCAACTTTGTAAGTAGCACCGCCTTTTACGGATTAAATGCTGCAGCGTCCACGTTAAAAGCGGCGCCGAAATGAGATTATTTATTTCTTCAATTACTTACCACCGGTGCGGCTTCTGCGGGAAATCTGATGCATCTCGTCAAGCGCCAGTCAGCTCAAATTACCCACAGTCTGGATTTCTGAATTTGACATGAATGAAAATTGGAAATGGAGAGCTTTAAAGAGATGGATCAACTCATTTTTAAAGAGACTCCAAGCTGGTGGTTTAGAAAATTCAAATTCTCTTACTTCATTTTTTCTCATAAACAATTTCCTAAAATTTCTATTAAATCTAAATGTAAATTTAAAAAAAAAAATATTCATTTAAAAAACTATTTTAACACTTCTAAAGAAGATCAGTTATATAATTTTGAATAAATAAATTTATTAAAACATAATAAAAGCTGGTGTTCATAGTATTTACTCATTCAATTAATGTTATTTATTTAAATTTATTTATAATCAATTTTAATTTTATAATATTCAGTTAACTTGAAATTAGAAAATATATTTGAATAAAAATATTTTGTATTTATTTGTAGTACTTTCAATTTGAATCATTTTAGGTGTTATTTTAATAATTAAATTTATTTCTCAACATAATTAATAAAAAGAATTTTATGAAGATAACAACCGATAAAATTTACAGTAATGGCCTTTTAAAAATCGAAAATCCTGTTCCTAATAAAGATCATTAGTACCAGCAGTATAATCCAGGCTTGAAACTTGTAAACTTGAATTTCGAGATCATATCAGGGGTTATTAGTGGTCCTGCTTATGTACCGTCCATTCGCGGTGATAATTTTTCATTTAAACCTTTTGCAAGCCGTGCGTGAATTCGGCCTATAAATTTGCCAAACCTCGGTAATTAAGCGGCCTGTGGTAATAAAAATAAAAACAGCACTCTCAGCAGGCATGAGATGAGTGAAAACCTGGACTGGCAAAATCCCAGGAAGTGGGTCGTAAAAACTTAAAATACCTTTGTGTAACAATAATAAATTATGTTTTCTGCATGTATATTAAAAAATCATGTAAATTCAGGTAGTAAAATTTGAATGAAAAATGATTTTATAGGTTAAAAACAATAAAAAAATATGGATATCTAATTTATTTTTGTTTCGTCAGTTTCTGTAATTAATAAAAAGTTTTATCACGGGGCATTTATAAAAATGCGACTTTATAGGTTCAAAATTTATTTGTAAACGTTCCAGGTCTTGCCACTCTTGTCCCAGTTTTTGTTTTCATCACAAAAGCCTTGTTTTCAAATAAAGAAATAATTTAAAATGAGGAAACTTTTATAATATTTTTGTTTGGGTAATAAAAAAAAAAAAAATAAATAACATGAAGATTAAAAAATGGTTAAAATAATTTTATATTAAATTTTATCTAATAAAAATTATCTCCAATATCGGTTTTATGCTCTTTTTTTAAATAATATAAATTGCATCACGAGGTTAAAGGAATGACAAAGGAAAATGTTTTACCACCACATATTTATTGGATCGCATAAAAAGTTATAAAATTAAAAACTTTTCCTCTCTCAAAACTTTTCCGCCGCCGCCGTTATGTTACGATGCAAACTTTGCAGACTTGCACAAACCAAAACCACAGCTTTTTTCCCCAACCCTTTTACCATTCTTGATGCATACCTGTTGAAATATAAAAACGCCTGAAAACAACATTGCCGAGAGCCGCGAAGCGCCACCGTTTGCAATTTGGCAGGCGTTCAGAAGCGATGCACCGGCCTTTGATCTGCAGCCGCCGACCATAAGAGCGACCAAGAAACGGCCCTTTTCACGACTCAAGAGCGGCGCTTGTTTTGCATCTTGCTCATTACGCAAGCGACGAATTGCGCAACTTAATACGCCGAGGAATGCAACCGGAGAAAGAAGATTTTCATGCGCACACGATTTTTATTTCTCTTGTGCGAACGTTGTTGTCGGCAACTTTGATTAACTCGTCGGCAGCCGCGAGAGAAGCTGCCATTTATCCAACCGGCTAACAAGATTAAAATGTACGTCGAGGCAGACGAGGCGGCGCGAAATTTCGACCTCGATCGGGCATCAAGTTTTCGCACCGAGCAAATTGAGCTGCACCGCACGATCTCCTGTCTAAAATTTTCACACAGAGAAAAAGTGGAATAAAAAAATGAAAATGCCTCGCCAAAATTAGAAATAAATAAATGAAAGCGTTTAATTAAGATAAAAATCAATGAATGGAAAAAAAGCTGGCTAGACAAAGAATTTATTGTCATTCAAAATTTGAAAATAATACTGCTAGTTGTAATTTCTATTTTTTGTACAATTTTTTTCTCAAATTTTAATTTTTTATTTTACTTGCTTTTAGATCAAATTAATTTTATCAACAAAAATATGAAAAATATTTAACTTTTAAAACGTCTAGTTGAGTTCTTATTCTTCTGTTGAAAATTGGGATTTTTTTTGTAATTTTTGTTTCCTCTTCAGGATATTTTTCACCTCAATTAATTTTCACTTTATCTTGCGTCTGATTTTCATATAATAAATAATTCATGTCGATGCACCAACAAAGAACAAAGAAAGGGCCGTCGCGAAGTTGCACTGAGCGGATTATGTGCCTTTCCAGCTAACCTCGTTATGGAAACGAAGCCTGCCAAATGTACACAGAGCATTATTGTTGGCGAGAATAGACTTATTTCTAAATACTTAAGAACGTCTTATGCAAAGATATTGACTTGTTACGAATATAGGGAACCGTGCAAATATTTTTAGAATCTTCACAGAAATAAAAGAACCAACCCTTTACGAACTAAAAATTTTTATATTAATAATAATTATTGAAATCACATTTTGTAGAGTTTGTAACAATTATTTGAAAATTCTCCCCGGTTTATTAAGCCGACCCAAGTAATGAAAATGTTATTTGTGTGTGCTAAGACTGGGAACATTAAGGCTGGGCATGTGTAAGTGGCTTAAATTAATTTTAAGTCGCTAAGATGTACCAGATACATTATAAATTTCAGTTAGACCAGAACCTGAACTGAAAAAGGTCTCGCTCAATTAAATTTACATTCTTGATTTGAAAGTTTATTTTCATATTCAGCCAAAAAAATTCTTCTCTCTCAAATACATTAATAGGAAATTTGATTTCATATTTAAATATTCTGAAGTTTACGAATTTTAAAAAAGAAGTTTTAAAAGTCTTAAAATTTTATTATTTTAAGAAAAAAAATTGTGATAGTTTCAAACACAATTATTTTGTAACTATAATTTTTCAGAAGCTGCTTGGAAAATCAGACAAATTGAAAAGTTTTAAATTGTAGTTATTTTGTATTTTGTTTAAATAAATAAGTGATTATTTTTCATAATATTTTCTTTAATATTAAAGAAAACATTATTTCTAAATATTTTGATACTAATGATTATAATTATTATTGTTTTCTTCTATTATATCAATTTTTAGTTTGGAATTTTGCGAGGTTCTTCCCCACGCGCTAAAGTAAACTGAAACGGCGCGCAATTGTTAGTTTGAACTGGACCGGTGTTAATTCGATGATAATCACGACGCCGCTTATTATTCGGTGGTGCCCTTTGCCACTCGAACACCCATCTCGGAATTTCCTGTACCAGCTGCGTTGGCCTCAGAGAAAGTCGGACCGGCTTTTTTTTCCCGCGCACGATGGAATAATAATAATGGGCCCGACGGCGCATTCCAGACGCGGATGCTGCCGCGTGTTGAAAACGAAAGTGCCGAGAGACTATTTTCGGTATTTACGCCGGATCTGAACTCGCGCGGTGGGAAAACGAAAGAGTTTAATTTACATGAAATCAAAGCCGTTTTGTAATGGACCTGCTTTCCGCGTCACTCCGAATCTTGGGAATTCCCAACTTTAACTTCTGTTTATTAGCAAATTTAATTCACTCGGCAACACTAAAATGTTCTGTGTTTGGTTAAGAAATCAACATTTCCGCCAATATTATGTAGCAACATAAAAATAAAATATTTAATTATCAAGAAATGAAAATAAATAACAAAATTAAATAAAAAAATAAAATTATTTAGAAATATTACAATGAATGTCATTGTTACAAATTAATTTACTCGCAATTTATTTTTATGTCATCAACAGAACAAAAAAATATCATTCATAAGCCAAATACCACATTTTAACATCAACATTTTAAAAAGAGACTAAAATGATTATAAAAAAAATCAAGATAATCATGAAATTGAAATTTTTGTAGTTTTTTTTTAATTAATTTGCATTTTCGGAAATTTCATTAATTATCAGAATCCTTTTTTGTGTGCAACGCACCCTGTTCAGTTTTATCGATCATCAAACTCTGCATAGTCCTGCCTTTGTTTGTAGTCGTCAAGTTGTCTGTCACCCACAAACAGCTGTTCAGGATCGAATTGCACTCGACCGGCAGTATCGAGTCCCTGCTGCTGGCGGCTGAGGCGAAAATAAAAACGCAGTCTGCGTTAATGGCCGTTATTATACCTTGGTTCATTTGGACCAAACGATTTGGTCAATACACTTGAGTGCCATTTCCAAAAGATATTTGAAACCAAATCGTTTGATGTTAGTTTCACAATTTCCAGGGCACCTGTGAACTTTTAAATAAATTTGGATGTTTTGATCATTCTGAAATGGATTTTGCTGTTAAAATTTTTTTAAATATATGAATAATGTTATAATTTATGTAATAAAGTATAGTAATGTTTAATTATTAGCTAGTATATTTATTTTTATTAATTAAATATTTTTGTTAATATTTAAAATTAAGTTCAAATTCATTATGCATTTAATAAAATAAAATTTTGATATTGTGTTAATTATTAGTTTTAAAAGTAAGCGTTGTTAAAAATTTATTTTTAGATCTTCGTTTGCTGCAGATCAAAAAACCCTGAGGTCCCTCAATGGGATTGGAGAGTAGATTACAGTATAAAGGACTAAACAAATTTTTTTAATTCGTTCATCAATCCATTCTCTTACATGGTAATCTTTGCAAAATTGCAAGCAAATAACTTTTTGAGGAAAAATTGACTTTGAAATTAAATTAAAAATTAGTGCCCTCTTAAATGAGAATAAAAATATTAGTCTCATTTTTATAGAATCTTATTAATTCCTAAAAAAATTCTTTTTTACCTAAATGACTATCCACCTGTCAAATTTTTAAAAATTGCTTTTGTTTACCATTTAAAAAGGTATGTTCTTCAAATATTGATTGAATCGTAAATGTCACTTGAAATATCCTTTTATTTGGCGGCCCAGATTAAAACTCGTTACTGACTGAGCATTGACAGACGTGTCGAGTTCAATCACGTTGTAAACGGCGTCAATAACGCCAAACGAAAAAATCCAATGCAAACACAATGGGCCTCATCTTTTCTCTTTCTGTCGGTTCCATTACCAGATGGGAAAAAATTCAATCAGCTGGAGACATTGGCTGAGTTAACAAGGTTTTGGTCGGTCGCCGGGGGATGATGAAGGAAGATAAAAGGGTGCGGCTGAGAGAGCAGATCGATTTCTTTCTCCTTAGAAAAGTAAGGAGGAAGAAAAATCCGTTCAAGAGACACGCCGGTGTTTGTTTTGCCGCGACTTTGAGGCCAAACAAACGCCCGATAGGAATGAGGAAAGGCCGCGTGCAATGGGTGACGTCCTGAGGTGATAACGAGAGAGAACTTTCATTATCACAATGCACATTTTAACCTTTTCTGCGAAATGTGGGTCAAAGTAGTTTTGACGACAACGCAAGTTTAAAAAAAATACTAATATTCGAAATGTTGATTATTCGAGTAATTCATGGAAAATTATATTTTGATTCATTCAATATAAAATAAAATAAAAATGTGTTCAAATTAAAATTTATATATTGAATATTGTGATGATTTTTTTAACTTGTTTTTGTTTTAAAGGTTGAAAGAGAATAAAAACAAAGGCAGCATCAATAATAATAAAAATTGTTTTCGAGATAACAATTTTATCAAAATTTATAATCACCAAATTGCGCATTATTTAATCTTGCAAGATGTTACAATTTTTTCGACATTTTTTGCGCGTTTCAAATGTTATTCAATTCAATTTTCCTTCCATCAGAGCCTGACAAGAGAACTCTTTTAAAGGACGCTGGATGAACTTCCTTCTTCATTCAATTCCTTTTTTCATTTCGGCGGAAAAGCCCACCGAGCTGGCCATCTTTTGTGTTGTGGACCATTATCATTTTGTTAACGGCGGACCGACAAATGGCGCGCAAAAAGGCTTTTCGAGTCAAAAGGGAAAGTGAGCGCGACGCCGGCTCGGAGCCAGATTGGCTGGAAAATGGGGTGGGCATTTCGCAGTTTTTTGCCAACAGAGGAAAGACAAGCCAGAGATTTATTAGAGGAAAAAAAAGAAAGAGCCAAATAATGGAGGTTGACAAATTTCATAATATTAAATTACATTACTAGGAATGCCTATTTTTTGTTCTTATAATTTTTTTTTAAAATATTAAAAATAAATGAAAACATTTTAACTATTTCAATCAATGGAAATGAAATTTCCTGGAAATTTAATTAATCTCACTCCATTTCCTGTTGAAATTTGAAAAACATTGCTTCGGTTTCCGATTTTTTCTAAATCTTATCAACAATTTCATATATATAGAAAATTAAATATTGTGTATACGTAAAATAAAATGTGAAATATGGGAAGTAATATTTTTACTGTTTACATCATAAGTCAAATTTAAAAGATTCTAATGAAATTTATAAAAACCATTTTCAAACAGG